GAACATGTTTTTTCATTACAACACAATATCACCAAATACGTAAAACTCGATTCGTTTCTTGGATCGGTTGTGTGACGGCGTGGAAATGTTCTTGGGAGGAAAGTCGGAACTGACGCTGGTCATGGCGTTTTCAACTCTACGAACATAAGAGACCATGGGTCATAATCAGACCGAACCTGGGATTCGTCACCACAAACAGCGCATCTTGGACGTTGCCCTAAGGGACGCAACTCTTCATCGCGCAATAAGGGACAATGTTATATATATCTGTAGGACTCAGATCCATGGCGGGACTCTAAACCACGGCGGATTCTCAGATCCATGGCAGATTCTCATTGTCATCGTACTACCGATAGACACAGCGATCAATCGAAACAATGCCGAATCATTTCAATATTATTATTAAAAAATACATGAAGTAACTCGCGTAAAGGCTCTGAATTCAAAGTGGGGGAGCGTGAACTCCGGCAAACGATAGAATAGTGCGGAAGGTCTTAGAAAATTATTAAACTATAAAAAATAACAATTATTGATACTATATGATAATCTCCTACAGATCTGAGTATAAGCAAATGTCTTCCGTTTGTGGTGTCATAGATCTGAGAATCCGCCCCAGATCAGTGTCCCGCCATAGATCAGAGTGACGTTCCTCGAGTTGATATTCAGTCGAAGTCCCCGAAAGTTGTCAAGTTGGTCGAATGGGGTAAGCTGCGCGATACGTAAGCGTTGCAGGTCAGGTTTCAGATATTAAAAAGTACTGAATAAATAAATAGCGGTTGGAAGATAGACTGTCTAGACCTGCCGCTGGTTAGGTTTATCGAAACAGTACTGAAAAACTAAACACAATGCTAGACAACAAGCTCTCATATACTATAGCTATTCGAAAAACGAATGACCCTGCATCATCAACAAAGACACATCACATATCCATCAAGTCTGACTGACAGGTGACAGGTATTTTACGTGCGCTTCTAAAAGATTTGAAGCTAGCGACTGTAGTTTCGAATGTTGGCGAGTGTGTTATATAACACATCATGTTACATTACAACAGTTTGCATAAAACAAAACGCAATATTGCGTTATGAGCGAGTCAGTGAGTGAGTTGGGTTTAAACACCGCTTTGAACAGTGTTCCAGTTATATCACGGCGAGTTAACTAAATGTCGGAGGAAAGCCCGAAGTGATGCAGGTCTTAGATGTTTACCACGTTGGTGAAACCCACGAGGAAGAGAACTTTATTAACGCCCTTGCCTCGGGAGGATGTTAGTACTGATGGTCCCTTCACACATGATTTTGCCGAGATTCGTGCTCACAATACAGAATGAAATTTTGGAAACAATAAATGAAATTAACTAATAACTTAAAGCCCGAACCGCTTTGTAATATTTAATAATCAATAACAGAGTAACAGAATGGACTAACGGGCGTTATTATTAGGTATTTCTTGCCATGCGATGTCTGGTCTGTTGAGCTAGCGGTAATGTTTCCGCTTTGGGGAACGTTCATAACTGATTGTTTACTTGACCAATACCCTTCCCTTCTGCACAGCTCTGTTTTGGGGAAATGACACACAAGAAAATATGAAAAATGTCACCGTATGTGTCCCCCAATGTTTGCTGACTATGCACCCTGGGCTATTAGCGTTCGTAGCTCTGGTAAGATATGGGGTTTCATATTAAAAACCGCAATGGACCTTTGGCGCTACAAAATATCCAAACTGAATCCCTTCATTCCCGTGTGTTTTATTTGCCACGCAACTTAAGTTAGAATACTTATATTTCGACTGTGAAACATAGAATATCAATACTGATGTGGAGTGGACAGTGGGAGTGGGAGCGGGAGCGGGAGCGGGAGCGGGAGTGGACAGTGGGAGTGGGAGCGGGAGTGGGAGTGGACAGTGGGAGTGGGAGTGGACAGTGGGAGCGGGTGCGGGAGTGGGAGTGGACAGTGGGAGTGGGAGCGGGAGCGGGTGCGGGAGTGGGAGTGGACAGTGGGAGTGGGAGTGGACAGTGGGAGTGGGAGTGGGAGCGGGAGTGGGAGTGGACAGTGGGAGTGGGAGCGGGAGCGGGAGTGGACAGTGGGAGTGGGAGCGGGAGTGGGAGTGGGAGTGGACAGTGGGAGTGGGAGTGGACAGTGGGAGCGGGTGCGGGAGCGGGAGCGGGAGTGGGAGTGGACAGTGGGAGTGGGAGTGGACAGTGGGAGTGGGAGTGGACAGTGGGAGTGGGAGTGGGAGCGGGAGCGGGTGCGGGAGTGGGAGTGGACAGTGGGAGTAGGAGCGGGAGCGGGAGTGGGAGTGGACAGTGGGAGTGGGAGTGGGAGTGGACAGTGGGAGTGGGAGTGGACAGTGGGAGTGGGAGCGGGAGCGGGTGCGGGTGCGGGAGTGGGAGTGGACAGTGGGAGTGGGAGCGGGAGCGGGAGTGGGAGTGGACAGTGGGAGTGGGAGTGGACAGTGGGAGTGGGAGTGGACAGTGGGAGTGGGAGTGGACAGTGGGAGTGGACAGTGGGAGTGGGAGCGGGAGCGGGTGCGGGTGCGGGAGTGGGAGTGGACAGTGGGAGCGGGAGTGGACAGTGGGAGTTGACAGTGGGAGCGGGAGTGGACAGTGGGAGTGGGAGTGGGAGCGGGAGTGGGTGCGGGTGCGGGAGTGGGAGTGGACAGTGGGAGTGGGAGTGGACAGTGGACAGTGGGAGTGGGAGTGGACAGTGGGAGCGGGAGTGGACAGTGGGAGTGGGAGTGGGAGTGGGAGTGGGAGTGGACAGTGGGAGTGGGAGTGGACAGTGGGAGTGGGAGTGGGAGCGGGAGCGGGTGCGGGAGTGGGAGTGGACAGTGGGAGTGGGAGTGGGAGCGGGAGCGGGAGCGGGTGCGGGAGTGGGAGTGGACAGTGGGAGTGGGAGCGGGAGCGGGAGTGGGAGTGGACAGTGGGAGTGGGAGTGGACAGTGGGAGTGGGAGCGGGAGTGGACAGTGGGAGTGGGAGTGGGAGCGGGAGTGGGAGCGGACAGTGGGAGAGGGAGTGGACAGTGGGAGTGGGAGTGGACAGTGGGAGTGGGAGTGGACAGTGGGAGTGGGAGTGGACAGTGGGAGTGGGAGTGGGAGCAGGTGCGGGAGTGGGAGTGGACAGTGGGAGTGGGAGTGGACAGTGGGAGTGGGAGTGGACAGTGGGAGTGGGAGTGGGAGTGGACAGTGGGAGTGGGAGTGGACAGTGGGAGTGGGAGCGGGAGCGGGAGTGGGAGTGGACAGTGGGAGTGGGAGTGGACAGTGGGAGTGGGAGTGGACAGTGGGAGTGGGAGTGGGAGCGGGTGCGGGAGTGGGAGTGGACAGTGGGAGTGGGAGTGGACAGTGGGAGTGGGAGTGGACAGTGGGAGTGGGAGTGGGAGTGGACAGTGGGAGCGGGAGTGGGAGTGGGAGCGGGAGCGGGTGCGGGAGTGGGAGTGGACAGTGGGAGTGGGAGTGGACAGTGGGAGTGGGAGTGGGAGCGGGAGCGGGAGTGGGAGTGGACAGTGGGAGTGGGAGTGGGAGTGGGAGTGGACAGTGGGAGTGGGAGTGGGAGTGGGAGTGGGAGTGGGAGCGGGTGCGGGAGTGGGAGTGGACAGTGGGAGTGGGAGCGGGAGTGGGAGTGGACAGTGGGAGTGGGAGTGGACAGTGGGAGTGGGAGTGGACAGTGGGAGTGGGAGTGGGAGTGGACAGTGGGAGTGGGAGTTGGAGCGGGAGCGGGTGCGGGAGAGGGAGTGGGAGTGGACAGTGGGAGTGGGAGTGGACAGTGGGAGCGGGAGTGGGAGCGGGAGCGGGTGCGGGAGCGGGAGTGGACAGTGGGAGTGGGAGTGGACAGTGGGAGTGGGAGTGGGAGCGGGAGCGGGTGCGGGAGTGGGAGTGGACAGTGGGAGTGGGAGCGGGAGCGGGTGCGGGAGTGGGAGTGGACAGTGGGAGTGGGAGTGGGAGCGGGAGCGGGTGCGGGAGTGGGAGTGGACAGTGGGAGTGGGAGTGGCAGTGGGAGTGGGAGTGGGAGTGGGAGTGGGAGTGGACAGTGGGAGTGGGAGCGGGAGCGGGAGCGGGTGCGGGAGTGGGAGAGGCAGTGGGAGTGGGAGTGGACAGTGGGAGTGGGAGTGGGAGCGGGAGCGGGTGCGGGAGTGGGAGTGGACAGTGGGAGTGGGAGTGGACAGTGGGAGTGGGAGTGGGAGCGGGAGCGGGTGCGGGAGTGGGAGTGGACAGTGGGAGTGGGAGTGGACAGTGGGAGTGGGAGCGGGAGCGGGTGCGGGAGTGGGAGTGGGAGTGGGAGTGGGAGTGGGAGTGGGAGTGCTGTGTTTGGGTGAAATCTGGATGAAACCTGAAATGAAAGACCGCAGGCGTATGTTTGCAGAAAAGTTTCTCATGGTATGTACCACAAACTTTCTACCTGTGAAGATCCAGGGAAGAATCATCTTCCCGAGGCAAGGGAGTTAACTGACTATAAAAGTCCAGTTTCCACCCTTGCCGAACTAGGCTGGTATTATGGAGTTACATTTTGGCTGGACTAACGAGTCTATGCATAGTCCAATCAAAATCAAGCAACGAAATCGAAATCTGGTTCGTAATCTGGCGTGCAGATTTCGGTCGATTGCAGAATTTGCAAAGCATATACACCGCCAACTCGTTGTCAACAGATATTTTCCAAATTTTTTTTGGATCGATGCTCATGATGTCAATCACTGGATTGTCTGGTCCAAACACAATTATTTACAGACAGCCATGATATAGCTGGAATATTGCTGAGTGCACATGAAACAAACAACAAACAAACTCTCTATTCTGCATACACTGTATATAAATTCTATATGGTAACGAATGATTGTAATGTTAAAAATGGCAATGGTGTTTTCTATTTTCTGTGAAATCTTCTGGTTGTTAACAAGCGATTACAAACATGATACAAATACAAATAATTTGAACTGGGACAAACTTCCTTTTTGCAGACATCAATGGCGCTGCTAAGTCCCTAGTCATAATAATAAATAACAAAGAGACAACGTATTTCATATACATATTTATCTCTCACTACTGATATAAACATCATTGCACAACATACAAGACATCCGTATCTAAATATTTCTTCTTCTGTCAATGGTGAAAAACTATACATTACAATCACTGTACAAATGTCTCTGACTCAGGCCAGGCTATTTTAATTATTTGTTTTACAAATGAACTGATCACATCTTAGCCATATTAAAAAAAATATAAAACATTCTCTAATGGGAAATAACTGTAACCTTATATACTACTCAAAAGAAGTTAAGGATCACCCGATTCTTCCATATTACAATAGTTAATCTCTCATGCCATGACAGATTAACATTACCAATATGAAAGAATCGGGTGATCCTTAACTTCTTTTGAGTAGTACAGTATATCTCATAGTTTACAGTTACACTAACAGGTTGACTGGTATGCTTGCTCTCTCCTACTCCCCCAGCAAAGACTTCAGTGAAAGCTAGAGGATAGCATCCCCCTTCCTTCCCTTCCTCAGTGAAATGAACCCCAATGGGTGGATGTGTATGAAACATAAATGAGTTATACTTCAAACAGTATCTACTTTCATCTCTTCAAGTATTTTTGGAATATGAATCTGCAAAACGAGTATTTAAGTAAGTCTTTCCTTATCACTTCATTAAATGTGATCTCATGGGTGAAACATGTTTCAAAGGTTGTCATGTCTGTACAATATTTTTTATCCATATATAATTTTTTAAAAGGCAAAATGAATGTTTTACAGCACCAGGTGCAATAAAATTCAATTTCCAGATAAAGGTTTAAACAGACTAATGAATATCTTAAGCTGACAATATTTCTTAGAATAATCAACTGTAATGAGTAATCTTTCAACGAGGCACAGATTCACACAGGTCCAATTCTACACCACACCTTCTTAGTGGTCTTCGTGTCTCAGGTTAGGCAGTGCTGATATAAGAGAACTTGGTGGTTGTGTAGAACCCCTTGCTCACAACTCCCACACCATCCACACATACACACGGCCAACCTCAGTAGCCCTTCCTTCCACGGAACCTGCTGCGCATGTCAAGCTGAAACAAGAGGAGAGTCGTCATTCCTCTAACATCTATATAACACTTAAGGTCTTAGCTGTGAAAGTAAGAATTTGTTGTGTTGCTGCAATATTGTTCTGTTGCTATTTTCAGTACATCAAACGAATCTTACAGCGTATAGAACTGGAAGAAAAGCAACCTATACCAAGGATGCCGTTAAATATGTTCACTTCATGGCATCATCATTTTGGGTCTTTGAAAGGCATTTAGAAGTGATGCCCATAAGAAGGAGAATATATGGATGTCAACTTCTTCTTTAGTATGAGGAACACAACGTTTCGGAGTATATGCTAACTCCTTCATCAGGTGAATGTTGAAGGAGTAAGCATATACTCCGAAACGTTGTGTTCCTCATAATAAAGAAGAAGTTGACTTCCATATATTCTCCTCCTTATCATAATTGTTTTTATTATAATGAACACAGATACCATGTACATTATTTAGTCAAACAATTGGAGGTGAGGTGAAATTGGGTTTAACGTCGCAACCAAGATTATTGCACTTATATTGCGACGTGCATGTACGTGTGTTTGTGTGGCTGCTTGTACTAGTCTGGACTGATGCCGATTTATAGTGCTAGCTCACTGAGATACCATGCCGCAGTTTAACATGAATACCCCACTCAGACACAGTATACTGACTCCGAGCCGACCAGTCCTTCTATTAGCCCCTTAATGCATCCTGCCAGACAGGGTAACAACAAGTACCATCTTTTAACGTCTTTGGGTATGACGCAGCCGGGGATCGAACCCCGGACCTTCAATTGGAGCAATGAAACACTCACATATATACAAATAAAGTAATCTGTGGTTAAAGGGCCATCATTAAACAATTCTGTGTGGGCAAATTTGGATTTTTTTATCGCTACAACATTTATTGATTATGGTCATGGGTGGAACACGACACACATTCAGACAAAGTCAAGCGACATGTCTAAGCATGAAGACTCCAAGAGTTTGGCACACACTGTCAAACAACAAGCAATTTGTACGGATGACAACAACGCGATGTTTCAGTACAGATGCTAGCACCATTATCACACACACTTACATCTATATTGAACCATCACAACAGTGAGTGGCCATCCATGCATCTTACAAATGTCTTGTTATTACAAACTTCTAATAGGCAAATATAACAATAAACACTTACAATTGATCGTTTACACTCGAAGAAGGCTGTTCGGAGGTTATGACACTTGTTTGGTATGCTAGGATGGCGGCCGAGCTGCAGACACTCCCTGGGGGTCTTACCATCCTGCAAGTGGATCAGGTGGAAGTCATAAGGATGGGTTATCATTTTAATCATTCAGTGATCAATTTAATGCAACTTGTTTGTTTTTCTGTTTTCTGATTCAACTGAACCAAGCCAAAAGCCTCAATCATAAAATAAACAAGAGTTTGCCACTAAAGTTGCTATATCCCCCGACCCTGTTGCAGAATTTATGACAATATTAAATCTAAACAAACCCTATCCTTTTTTAACCGAGGTGGAACTTGTCATGTAAATTGTAAAAAAAAGAAGAGTTTGGAACCAAAATCAATCTTGCTGCAATGGAAACGTAAAAAATAAAAATTTCTAAAATTTCTAAAATTTCTAAATAGCAAAAGGCACCAGTTCAGCATGTACCTGACAAACCTGCAAAGTTTCATGAAAAAATATTGAACGGTTTATGAGTTATGCTGCAGAAACGAACCCTACCCTCACAGAACCTAAGTTCATCTTGTTGCCATGGAAACGTAAAAAATAAAAATGTCTAAAATTTCTAAAAAGCAAAAGGCACCAGTTCCACATGTACTTGACAGACCTGCAAAGTTTGATGAAAAAATATTGAACGGTTTCTGAGTTATGCTCCGGAAACGAAACGTGACAGTTGGATGTACGGAAGGAGCCCGTTTCTATATCCCCCGCCAACTTTGTTGGGCGGGGGATAAATACAAAGAAATAAAGTTGCATTTATTTGCCAGAGTGGAGCAGGTCAAAACGGCCTCATATCAGCTGACAAACCTAGAAGCATAATTGGGGTGAACCGGGATTCGACCCAACAATCATAGGTTTCTGGCGTGCCCAAGGGGCTCAAAGCTGCACAGGGAATAGCGGTGCCTTAGACGACTGGGCCACCCACGCCCCCAAAGAGTGTTTAGCCTATCAGATATTAGCTTTCTAATAATGATTAGGTTGCACTACATTCTCAATTTTGTAGACTTGATCTGTTGTCAGAAGCAGTTTCTGTCTGAACGAAAGAAAACCAACAAAAACCACAAACCCTGATAGTGCAGCATTTACTTTGTAGATGCCATGATGCTCAGAAACAATTCCAGGGTCACCCAGTCACTATCAAAACTGATTTATCTGCCGATCAACTTTCTACGCTACCTTCATCACGCATTCACTCTTCAGCAGACAATCCAAGAGGTCCTCTCGGATGCCAGAGCAGGCAAGCTGTTGCTTCGGTTCCTCCCCTTCCTCGTCCGGGTAGTACTTGGGCATGGCCACAGGATCTGATACACAGTCAGTGAGTGGCCACAGGATCTGATACACAGTGAGTGAGTGGCCACAGGATCTGATACACAGTCAGTCAGTGAGTGAGTGGCCACAGGATCTGATACACAGTCAGTCAGTGAGTGAATGTTGATTTAAACAAAAGTAGTGAGTGAGTGAGTGAGTATGGTTTTAAGCCGCTTTTAGCAATATTCCAGCAATATCACAGCGGGGGACACCAGAAATGGGCTTCACACATTGTACCCATGTCGGGAATCGAACCCGGGTCTTCGGCGTGATAAGCCAACGCTTTAACCACTAGGCTACCCGACCACCCCTAAACAGAAATAAGTAACGGTGCAGCACACAGTGGCCTGTAATGATCAAGTTTACATAATCTGGCCACTGGGGCAGAATGACACACAATCAGCCCTATACAACATCGTATCCACCTCAACCCCCTCATACAAAAGATATAACTATTCCATCCCTGAATGCCCATGGTGGACTTTGACTAAAGCCTTGTTCATTAGGATATATATTGCTCTAGCTAAGAAGCTGAATATGGTTCACATGTTACAATTACAATCTACTGAAAAAGTTCATCCACTATATTTTGCGTTGTTACCGTAGTAGCTAAATTCCAATGGTAGCTAAATTCCAATACCTCAGCAATGACTTCTACAAATTTTGAAAGGAAACTAATAACTTCTCTCATAATACCAAATATCAGTTATGGTCTTTCTGTAAGTTGTTTGTAACTGGTTATAAAGTCAAATAAGTAGGAAATGATGTTTGACGACTAAACCCTAGTCTGATATATGTATATGCCTTAATAAAAGTTAAATGTTTAGAAAATATTCTCATGTTTGCTTGTTGTTTAACGCTGCACTCAGCAATATTCCAACTATATGACGGCGGTCTGCAAATAATCGCGTCTTGACCAGACAATCCAGTGATTGACATCAAGAGCATCGATCCATGCAACTGGGATACGATGACATGTATCAACCAAGTCAGCGAGCCTGACCACTCGATCCCGTTAGTCGTCTCTTACGACAAGCATTGTCACCTTTTGTGGCAAGCATGGGTTGCTGAAGTCCTATTCTACCCCGGATCTTCACGGGTTCATGAATAGGTCGACTCTTATCTTCTTCTATTTTGTGCATAATAGTAGTAGGTGAGGTGAAATTGGGTTTAACGTCACGTCCAAGATTATTGCACTTATATAGCGACGTGCATGCACGTGTATGTGTGTGTGTGGCTGCTTGTACTAGTCCGGACTGATGCCGATTTATAGTGCTAGCTCACTGAGATACCATGCCGCAGTTTAACATGAATACCTCACTCAGACACAGTATACTGACTCCGAGCCGACCAGTCCTTGTTTTAGCCCCTTAATGCCGAGCGCCAGACAGGGTAACAACAAGTACAATCTTTTAACGTCTTTTTGTATGACGCGGCCCGGGATCGAACCCTGGACCTTCCGCTCTCTGGGCGGACGCTCTACCACAAGACCACGGAGGCGGTCTCATAATAGTAGTAACACAGCAACATTTACAAGATGTGTTACTGATTTCAGGCTGCATTTTCGTTTTTTTTTATTATAGATGACGGTCAGCCTAAACGCCTCATTGCAAAAGCCATGTTTATGTTTTCCAACAATTGTGATGAATCATTGTAGATCTATCGATATAATACACATCATGTAAACTTCAAATTTTCAAGCTCAGTTGATAATTATCGTGTTCATGTGTTTTCTTTATAAATATAATGTTTATATATATTATATCAATAAGATAGAGTGTTTTTGATTACACAATAGTGAAATGCATGCTTTGAGTTTCAAAATGCACTGACATACATGACAGACTCAGCTCAAGCAATGTGTTCTTCAAGCACTCGCAATTAGAGTTATCCCCCTTAGATAAGAAAAGGGAATTGTGGGATCGGTGAGCATGCGCGTTGATGAAATTATGAGTTGTATCAACTTCCGCTTTGTTGTTCCTGCGAAGTTGTGACAAGTGACACTTATCATAACTATGAATTTTCACTCGCTTTAATGCAGAGTTGTTGGGCAGCAGAACGTTTATTTTAATCTGATGTAAGTATACATTTGTTTCGACAAGATTATGTACTGAGCCATCCCAGCGTTTTGATGAATTATCTGTGTTGACGACGTGGCTTGTTATGATTTCACCAAATATCCATGTCTCCATGTTGCGTTTCTTCTACAACTGTGCTAATAGTGTTTTACTTCATCGTTTAGTTATGTGAACTTCGATGTCACCATCAGATAGGCCTATCCGCCATGATACATCATTAACATCCACTAGAAACATCACGATGTCAAACGGCACCAACATTGCTGGAGAAAACAGCTCGCTGCACATCACAGTGCGCTTGCAACACCGACAAAAATCTCATTGATCATACTTATTATGATTATGACAAACAGTTATTCCCCCCAAACAATTATTAGGCTTATCACACGACCAGACTTGTCTCTTGTTTGTAAATAAACGCACTTATTCTAAAATAAGAGACAGGCCCAATGTCAAGCCTTTCAGTGAGCTTTACATATTGTTCTGCATAAATAAATAGACATACTACTACAACTGTGACAGTGAGGTGCATGACAATATAGCTTTACACATCGAAGTGACTGTATCGCTAGCACTCTGTGTAGGGCTTTGACATCTTCCCAGGGCAAGGTAATTAAATGACTATAAAAGTCCAGTTTCCACCCTTGCCGAACTAGCCTGGTATTCCGGAGTTACATTTTGGCTGGACTAACGAGTCTATGCATAATCCAATCAAAATAGTGTAACAAACTAGACATCCGGTTCTGATTTCAATGTGCAGATTTCCATCGACTGCAGGATTTGCAAAGCATGTGTACCATCAAATGGACATCGACAGATATTTTGCAAATCTTTTCCTATTTTTACAAAGTGCTCAAATGATTTGATGCACTTCACGAGGTAAGACCTGTTTTCTTACAATATAGATCTTGATTATCGATCAGATCGTCTTGACTGGCGCTGGCATGTTGTTTGAAGCAAATGGAAGTGCTATGAGGATGAGAGGTGGAATCTGATTGGTCAGTTGGAGGGACATAACTTGTAATAGCCACTGGTGGCGTTACGATCGAGCCATGGAATTCCAGTGTAGTTCGGCAAGGGTGTAAACTGGACTCTTGTTGTCAGTTAACCCTCCTGCCTTGGGCATGTGTTGGGAAGATGGGGCTTTGATGACATCATGTGGAGGATAAATACACAAATGGAAATAATCTTTCACGTTTTAGGATATTTTCTCAACATGCTCAATAAAAGTTATGTTTATCTAGATGTAGACTCGTCCAACATGAAATGGATGAAAAACACGTGAATGGACTGTGTAAGATGTGACGCCGTGACAGAGTTAGGTTATGAATCTGGCCGCAAGGAACTCATGCGACCAATGTATATCATTATCTATATTGTAGTCTAGGCTTTGATAAGCAGTAGCTACTAATCAAATCAAGTTGACAATTCGTGTTTTGTAACTCATCTGTATGAAAAACATGCAAGCTTTTACTTCAGATAGCCTCCAATGAAAAACAGTATTGAATCAGTTGAATCTCCACAGTACTTGCTTTGTCATCATCACTGTGTGGAGCTCTTTTGGTTTGCGAATTGGGCATGTGATGTCACAATCAGAAATTATTTTATGCATGATTTATAAACACTCAGAACCATCGACATACTTAACTTCACCTCTTCCTCATTATCACTTACTTATCATGCTTATTGCTACTGTTGTCATGGTTAGGGCGCACATTTTTTGTTTTCTGTTTCTATGTCCCACCTCCCACACTGAAAGCAGCTAAAAATGAAATAAATTAAACATAAAAACATTAACTGTATGTCTCCAGCTAGGACCATGTAGTACTATAGACCCTCTTATACAATATGAAATGTTATATATAAATTCCATGTCTACATCGCTCTCAGCGATTCAAGAAGCCAGCTGCTGTTTTAACTCCATGGCTGAATGACTTTCATATAAATAAATGATTGACATAGCTTTTTATTTTTATTTTGACTGTTGTGTGGAAAAGCTGGAAGTAATCCATGAAACAGAAAATATATAAAAGTGTGGCTGCATAGCAGATGCTTTAACTTTGTAACCCTTAAAATGAGAATTTTTTTCACCCAGATAGAAGTAATTTCATAACCCTGTCTAATAAATTATGTTATGTTTATAATATATTAATCATGTTAATTTGGCAATGTTTAGGTTTAGATTAGTATAACATTCAAAACATTTCACTCATTACTTGCCAATAAAACTTGTTTAATGCTCGCAATGTTTGTGTGTTGATGATACAATGTAGTGTGAACGTTATAGTGAATGAATGGTTGACTTTATGAACATGATGAATGTGAATGCAATGGTTTTGTGTTGATGATAGTGTGAATGTTAGAGTGAATGAATGGTTGACTTTATGAATGTGAATGCAATGGTTGTGTGTTGATGATAGTGTGAATGTTATAGTGAATGAATGGTTGGCTTCATGAATGTGAATGCAATAGTTGTGTGTTGATGATAGTGTGAACGTTATAGTGAATGAATGGTTGACTTTATGAATGTGAATGCAATGGTTGTGTGTTGATGATAGTGTGAAGTTACGTGAACGTTATAGTGAATGAATGGTTGACTTTATGAATGTGAATGCAATGGTTGTGTGTTGATGATAGTGTGATTGTTATAGTGAATGAATGGTTGACTTTATGAATGTGAATGCAATGGTTGTGTGTTGATGATAGTGTGAATGTTATAGTGAATGAATGGTTGACTTTATGAATGTGAATGCAATGGTTGTGTGTTGATGATAGTGTGAATGTTATAGTGAATGAATGGTTGGCTTCATGAATGTGACTGCAATGGTTGTGTGTTGATGATAGTGTGATTGTTATAGTGAATGAATGGTTGACTTTATGAATGTGAATGCAATGGTTGTGTGTTGATGATAGTGTGATTGTTATAGTGAATGAATGGTTGACTTTATGAATGTGAATGCAATGGTTGTGTGTTGATGATAGTGTGATTGTTATAGTGAATGAATGGTTGACTTTATGAATGTGAATGCAATGGTTGTGTGTTGATGATAGTGTGATTGTTATAGTGAATGAATGGTTGACTTCATGTATGTGAATGCAATGGTTGTGTGTTGATGATAGTGTGATTGTTATAGTGAATGAATGGTTGACTTCATGTATGTGAATGCAATGGTTGTGTGTTGATGATAGTGTGATTGTTATAGTGAATGAATGGTTGACTTCATGTATGTGAATGCAATAGTTGTGTGTTGATGATAGTGTGATTGTTATAGTGAATGAATGGTTGACTTTATGAATGTGAATGCAATGGTTGTGTGTTGATGATAGTGTGATTGTTATAGTGAATGAATGGTTGACTTCATGTATGTGAATGCAATGGTTGTGTGTTGATGATAGTGTGATTGTTATAGTGAATGAATGGTTGACTTTATGAATGTGAATGCAATGGTTGTGTGTTGATGATAGTGTGATTGTTATAGTGAATGAATGGTTGACTTCATGTATGTGAATGCAATGGTTGTGTGTTGATGATAGTGTGAATGTTATAGTGAATGAATGGTTGACTTCATGTATGTGAATGCAATGGTTGTGTGTTGATGATAGTGTGAATGTTATAGTGAATGAATGGTTGACTTCATGTATGTGAATACAATGGTTGTGTGTTGATGATAGTGTGAATGTTATAGTGAATGAATGGTTGACTTCATGTATGTGAATGCAATGGTTGTGTGTTGATGATAGTGTGATTGTTATAGTGAATGAATGGTTGACTTCATGTATGTGAATGCAATGGTTGTGTGTTGATGATAGTGTGATTGTTATAGTGAATGAATGGTTGACTTCATGAATGTGAATGCAATGGTTGTGTGTTGATGATAGTGTGAATGTTATAGTGAATGAATGGTTGACTTCATGAATGTGAATGCAATGGTTGTGTGTTGATGATAGTGTGAATGTTATAGTGAATGAATGGTTGACTTCATGTATGTGAATGCAATGGTTGTGTGTTGATGATAGTGTGAATGTTATAGTGAATGAATGGTTGGCTTCATGTATGTGAATGCAATGGTTGTGTGTTGATGATAGTGTGAATGTTATAGTGAATGAATGGTTGACTTCATGTATGTGAATGCAATGGTTGTGTGTTGATGATAGTGTGATTGTTATAGTGAATGAATGGTTGACTTCATGTATGTGAATGCAATGGTTGTGTGTTGATGATAGTGTGAATGTTATAGTGAATGAATGGTTGACTTCATGTATGTGAATGCAATGGTTGTGTGTTGATGATAGTGTGAATGTTATAGTGAATGAATGGTTGACTTCATGTATGTGAATGCAATGGTTGTGTGTTGATGATAGTGTGATTGTTATAGTGAATGAATGGTTGACTTCATGTATGTGAATGCAATGGTTGTGTGTTGATGATAGTGTGAATGTTATAGTGAATGAATGGTTGACTTCATGTATGTGAATGCAATGGTTGTGTGTTGATGATAGTGTGAATGTTATAGTGAATGAATGGTTGACTTCATGTATGTGAATGCAATGGTTGTGTGTTGATGATAGTGTGATTGTTATAGTGAATGAATGGTTGACTTCATGTATGTGAATGCAATGGTTGTGTGTTGATGATAGTGTGATTGTTATAGTGAATGAATGGTTGGCTTCATGTATGTGAATGCAATGGTTGTGTGTTGATGATAGTGTGAATGTTATAGTGAATGAATGGTTGGCTTCATGTATGTGAATGCAATGGTTGTGTGTTGATGATAGTGTGAATGTTATAGTGAATGAATGGTTGACTTCATGAATGTGAATGCAATGGTTGTGTGTTGATGATAGTGTGAATGTTATAGTGAATGAATGGTTGACTTCATGAATGTGAATGCAATGGTTGTGTGTTGATGATAGTGTGAATGTTATAGTGAATGAATGGTTGACTTCATGAATGTGAATGCAATGGTTGTGTGTTGATGATAGTGTGAATGTTATAGTGAATGAATGGTTGACTTCATGAATGTGAATGCAATGGTTGTGTGTTGATGATAGTGTGATTGTTATAGTGAATGAATGGTTGACTTCATGAATGTGAATGCAATGGTTGTGTGGGGACATGGAAACTCAACACCAGCGTATGTTTTGTCCTGTCACCCCTACATGCTGAATGGACCGGTCAAGACCAGCTGATCGCTAAACAAGATGTAATTTGTTATAAAACTGGTCTTACCCTGCAAAGTGCATCAAATAACTTGTCCACCTTGATTAAAAAAATGAAAAGATTTGCAAAATATCTGTCGACGCTTAGGTGGTGATACACATGCTTTGCAAGTCCTTCAGTCGACTGAAATCAGCACATTGAAATCCATGTTGTTTACAGACCGGATGTCTAGTTCATTATGCGATTTTGATTGGACTATGCATAGACTCGTTAGATCGGCCAAAATGTAACTCTGGAATTCCAGCCTAGTTCGGCAAGGGACTTAGGGTGGAAACAGGACTTTTATAGTCAGTTTCATCCTTGCCTCGTGAAAATGATGCACACATTATCTAATCCCTTTCCAAGGTACAGGAACCTGTCCAGTATGCATGGTAAAGGTATCCATGCCCTGTTCACAGCAAATGTATGGCATCATTCCAGATGCGCAGCAGCTTGTAACCATCTTCACTTTTATCACTATGGTGTAGGGTCCATCTTGGCGATCAACTCTGTTGCAGAGCAGCCATGGTCGCCCCTAGTTTAAAACCTACAGTAATGATCAGATGATCTTATGGTATCTAATAGTGATGAGCATGATAAGTGGAAAACATTGGACAAACTCTGATAGCATATGCTTAACACACATAAGCATATTGAACTATAGACATCACAGATATTTTCTAGTGGATGTTTGTGTAACCATGGTAATTGTTGGAAATTACTTTGTTAGGCTAATAATAATGTGTAAACTTTTCTGTTCATTCAACTGTTATTCTGTTTGAAACAATAATCATGGACGTATCCATATTCCCCACGCGACTCACACACATGAAATCTGTCCTCATTTTCATTCAGCCCTAATTGTTTTAGCAACTACACATGGCACAATCTGTATATATTTTCAGTTTATGCAGAGACAACAAAAGAAACTATAAATTTAATGATTTATTATGTTTGGCACAAAAAACTGGGGGACAGATGCCTAGCTAAGCTAACAAATAAAAGTATGACATCATTCCCCCCCTGCGATTGTAAAAAGCATGTAAAACATAGGCAAGAACGATTGTAGAAAAAACATGGACTGGGGCCCAGTAATACTGTGTGATGGATATGGTAAGTAAATGCTGGAATTACAGCACTGGGTGTCGTTCCCGGATGTGGCGCGACGATGGTGGAAATACAGAGTCGTACAACTTACTGGGTGTCGTTCCCTGTACGCCCCGGACGGATTGCAGATGAGTGTGAAGTAGAGAATGGGTCCTCAGTCAAAATGAGGAATAAAAATGAATAGTTAAGCTACTTGGGGTTTAAAATACAAAGTAAAATTTTCATTCATCACTAATTGTTTTAGCAACTACACATGGCACAATCTGTATATATTTTCAGATCATTGGTAAACATGTCTTACACGAAGATGTCTCCCCCTCTATCCCCGACGGGGTCCCCACCCTCCTCACCTCTCAGTAGCTATGGAAACGGCTTCAGTGGGCCCTCTAAGTCAGAGGCTAGACTGACAGCAACAGCAAAAAGACGAAAATATTTCCGACGCTTGTTCAAGTTTCGTCAAATGGACTTTGAATATGCATTCTGGCAGATGGTGTTTCTGTTTTCGTCACCACAAAAAGTGTAAGTATCTGAGTAAGTTAATGTATATCAAGATGATCAGCTTGCTTCCAGAATGATCAGCTAATGATATAATGGAAAAAATGGAAATAAGATTTAGGACTTTTATTCATCCATTTCTTTCCCAAAGTACAAAATGATCAATATATCAATACATCCTATCAGCAGTATTGAGTACGACAAACATATTTTTTGTTGTGTTTTACGCCGCACTCAGCAGCATTCCAGTCTTTTAATAGCAGGGACGGTCTGGTAGCCTAGTGGTTAAAGCGTTCGCTCGTCACACTGAGGATCCGGGTTCGATTCCAGACATGGGTACAATGTGTGAAACCTATTTCTGGTGTCCCCCGCCGTGATATTGCTGGAATATTGCTAAAAGCGATGTAAAAGCATTCTCACTCACTTGCTCTTTAAATAGCATCAGTCAAGCCAGGGGGTCTGAAGATCCTCTTAGTCACGTCTTACAGCAAGCATGGGTTGTTGAAGACCAATTGTTACCCGGATCTTCACAGATCCATCTAATCCTTATTATTGTGATTTTATTTCATTGTATTTTATTTTTACCTTGTTCATCTGTTATTAATTACAGGTACCGCAATTTCCAGTATAGGAAACGTAAGTATTATTAATGGAATGTGTTGGTGTTATGTGGGGATTTGTCTAGGCGAGCTCAGAGGCTGATTTTCAGTCCCAAGTTCGCAGGAAATTACCAAATTGGAATGAAATAATTTTCAAAACTTATGTTGTTATGGTTATAACTAAAGTTATGGAGAGTTGACTAGTAATAGAAAGGAAGAAGCGTTAATGCTTGGTTTTGTAGTTGTACGTTGCTGCATATATGGAATGTTAAACATGTTAAAAATAGCTCTGAATTTTATGGAAATAGAAAAATTATAGAAATATTTTTAAAAATTGACTGCATATGTTTGACATGTGATGAATCCTTTTCAAACCATCCTTCAAGATATTCTGTCTTCTGTAAGAGACATTTGATATTTCTTTCAGATACAAAGGATCAGTGGGCCCGCGATGATCCTGCCTTCCTTGTGCTGCTCAGCTTCTGGCTTCTAGGTAGGGCATTACACATCCATATCTCATATGACAAATAATCTGACATGCATTGTGGGGGCTTGATTGTGTTACTATGGATACCTTTCACCATTTGGATCTTGTGCACATCTTCCCGAGGCAAGGGAGGTAACTGTGCATAAACCGAACCGAACCAGGCTGGAATTTCTGAGCACGATCGTAGCGCCACCATTGACTATTATGAGTTATGTCCCTTCTATGCCCCTCCTATTGACTAATCAGATTCCGCCTCTCATATCACTTGTATTTGCTTCAAACAAAATGGCGACTCCCAAACAAGACGGTCGCATCGATCATGTTGATAATCAAGATCTATATTGTGATACATCGGGTCTTACTTCACGAACTAGACCGCCCATGTGGTCTAATGGTAGAGCGTCTGCCCGAAGAGCGGGAGGTCCGGGGTTCGATCCCCGGCCGCGTCATACCAAAAGGCGTTAAAAGATGGTACTTGTTGTTACCCTGTCTGGCGCTCGGCATTAAGGGGCTAAAACAAGGACTGGTCGGCTCGGAGTCAGTATACTGTGTCTGAGTGGTATATTCATGTTAAACTGTGGCGTGGTATCTCAGTGTGCTAGCACTATAAATCGGCATCAGTCAGGACTAGTTCAAGCAGCCACACACACACACATACACGTGCATGCACGTCGCTATATAAGTGCAATAATCTTGGACGCGACGTTAAACCCCATTTCACACTTCACGAACTGCATCAAATCATGGGAGCTACTTGAGTGAAAACATGCAAGAAATTTGAAAATATCTGTTACTGACATGCATTGTGTGGGCTAGATTGTGGTACTTTTCACCATGTTGATCTGGTATGCATAAGGCTTGAACAAATAAAACAATTGTTCTCAGGCAATGGTTTTTGAAAATATAGAGCAGACTGGCGGTGTCTTTTTTATGTTTTTTGTTTGTTCAAACTAGTATGTAACCAAAGACACAGGTGTGTAACCTGAACCATGTGAACCAAATACACAGTTGTGTACCATCAACCTGGGAAAGGGCCTCCCTACATAAATGTATTCCTTGACAAGTAAAATACTGGAATACTGTATTTGACTACTGTTGGGTTTTAAATATTTAAGGATTTTACTTTTTTTTTTAATGGAAATAAAAACGAAACATGCGGTGGACTTTATGATCATGTGGGCGGTGCCTGAGAACCAAGACTATTTTGTTGTTGTTGCCTTGTTGATACCTTTCACCATTTTGATCTGGTATGCATTTTCTTGTGCATGATGTGGGCCATCATACTGCAGTGTAAGGTAATGGAGCTGCCTCCACAAAACTCTACAAGGGTTTTGGATTAAAACTGTAAGATGGTTGTTAGTACAGCTGGCTCTTCTTGTTTCCTGCTCTGTTCTGTTTTTAGTTTTTTTCTAAGCAAATAATATTTTGGTGAAAAGTACCAGTGTCATCAACATGATCAAGAACATCAAATGGTCAGCCCTAAAGAGTGTTGTTTTGTTGTGAAGCAAATACAGATACATTATGAATAAAGTGTGTATGGTAGCGTAGTAGTCATCTTCATCGGGACCCGTGAAGATCCGGGGTAGAATAGGTCTTCAGCAACCCATGCTTGCAGTAAAATGCGACTATGCTTGTCGTAAGAGGTGACTAACGGGATCGGGTGGCCAGGCTCGCTGACTTGGTTGATCATGATGCATGTCATTGATCCCAATTGCGCGGATTGATGCTCATAATGTCAGTCACTGGATTGTCTGGTCCAGACTCGATTATTTACAGACCTCCATCATATAGTTGGAATATTGCTGAGTGCGGTGTTAAACAACAAACAAACAAACAAACAAACATCTTCATCGGATCATGTTTCAGCATCATCTGTTGGGTTTGTTGCTGTGCTGGGCCTCAGTGTTGTGGCTTTCATCAAGTTCTTCCTGTGGGTCGTGTTTTTGGACTGCATCGGAGTTGGACTGGTCATTGCAACCCTGTTCTGGTGAGTACACTGGATGACACCCAAATATTAATCACAGTAAAATATTAGGAATGAAAGCTCATTGGCCCTGTTCTACACAGTAATGTTCCTGCAAACAAGTTCGGGTACATGGTGTAGGCTTGGAAAGGCCTTAAATATGCATTCGACCTGATGTTGGCCTTGAAAATACAGTGAACACCCCCCCTCTCATGTAAATTACCTTAATAAGAAACACTATTAAAACTGGTTAAAACCTGTTATTTGAAGAAAGCCAATCTCATTAAAATCAGACCTTAGTTCTCGCTACCGCTAAACAAAGATCTGAAGACATCCCATTAGGGGTCACGTCAGAACGACCTTTCATCCGACCAATCAGAGCGTCGCTTACCAGATTATGAAAGTGACAGTCAGAATGTGATTTCTTATCATGCAGCCTCGAAAACTTTATTCCGAACAATAGTTTCTGGTTTAAAGACTGAATCAATACAATCTAGACCATCCATTAGCCATTCCAGAATGTTCTTTTGTTCAGGTTTTAAATTTGTAATCGAGAATTTGTCAAAATATGTTTCGAAGTGTAGTCGCCAATTTGAAATTAGTGCCGTAAAGCACGAGAAAGCTGCCTTCTGATTGGTCATTTCATTGATCGGTCAAAGTTCGCGCAAGGTCGGACCCGTAATGGGATGTCCTCAGATCTTTGTTTAGCGGTAGCGAGAACTAAGATCTGATTTTAATGAGATTGGAAGAAAGCTGTTGGTATATTATGTATTTATTATCAGTAACCATAGAGTTATCTCCCTTTAAATAATCAGCTGTTCAGTTAAGATTTGAATATGCTCAGATCTGTATCAAATTGAACATAAGTCAAGCACTTCTTCATAAGTGTAGCAAATGGCAGGATGGTGTTTGTTAGTGTGACACAATAAAATCCAATAATCATGTTGAAAATATATTTGGCAGGGACTTGAATTTTTGGATGGAGCCTTGAAAAAAGCTTGAAAAGGCCAAGACTTGTGTGACATGAATCCTGTGCTGTGACTCTGTCCAGTTAGCTGAGCTTGTTACTTTCTCCCCAGGTATTTGACAAACAAGTACATGATCACAGCACCTCCTCGAGGGCAGGATGTTGAGTGGGGCTACGCGTTCGATGTCCACCTCAATGCTTTCTTCCCCCTACTTCTCATCCTTCATTTTTTCCAGCTGCCACTTCTGCATCGTAAGTGTCTTCTTCATCATGTTTACAGTCCTCCTCTCTTGGGAGATTTCTAGCCTTTTGCACCATTCTTGTTGATGGGGCACTGGTGGCCCAGTTGTCTAAGGCGCCGCAATTTGCTGGGCATGCCACAAACCTATGATCGTGGGTTTGATTGGCGGTCGGGTAGCCTAGTGGTTAAAGCGTTCGCTCGTCACGCCGAAGACCCGGGTTCGATTCCCGACATGGGTACAATGTGTGAAGCCCATTTCTGGTGTCCCCCGCTGTGATATTCTGGAATATTGCTCAAAGCGGCGTAAAACCATACTCACTCACTCACTCACCCGTGGGTTTGAATCCCAATTCGCCCCCATTATGTTTCTAGGTTTATCAGCACCATATCAGCACCAAAGTTGTAAATGTCTAAGACCTGCATCACTTTAGGCGAAAGCTGACACGCCATGATATAACTGGAATACTGTTAAAAGTGGCGTTAAACCCAACTCACTCACTCACTTCTTAGTAAACTGTTCCAAGACACATAAGCTACTGTTGCTGTCTTCTGATAGAATCCATGATGATCTGGGGTAGAATAGGTCTTCAGCAACCCGTGCTTGCCGTAAAAGGTGACTTTGCTTGTCGTAATTGGCGACTTAAGGGATTCGGTGATCATACTCAATGACTTGGTTGATGCATGTCATTGTATCCCAATTGCATCAATCACTGGATTGTCTGATCCAGACTCGACTATTGACAGACCGCTGTCATATATCTGGAATATTGTTCAGTGCGGCATTAAACAAAACAAACAAACAAAAAACATATTCGGAAACAAACAAAATCTGATAGTTAGTATGTTAACATGTGTGTTGGGATGAAGTGGTTTTGCTTTGTTTTGATGCTGAACTTGACTTGGTCATGATGGTCATGTTATCCAACTCTCATTTCAGATTTCATCAACCAAGATTATTTTTTATCTTGTTTCTTTGGAAACACGTTATGGCTAATAGCTATTGGCTACTACATCTATATAACGTTTCTTGGATACAGTGGTAAGTCCCATCTATTTAACCCTCATTAGGTTAGTTTGCCAATAGGTTGTATGCATCAATGCTATTGTGAATGTCACTGTACCTGTGAAGAATTGGGGTAGAACAGGTCTTCAGCAACCCTTACTTGCTGTAAAAGGGGACTAACGGGATTGGGTGGTCAGGCTCGCTGACTTGGTTGATGCATGTCATCATATCCCAATTTCATGGATTGATGCTCATGACATCAATCACTGGATTGCCTGGTCAAGGCTTGATTATTTACAGACCACTGTCATATAACTGGAATATTGCTGAGTGCGGCGTTAAACAAACAAACTAACAAACCCTGAACCACCTAAGTCTCTAAGTTTTAACATTATGGTTATGACAAGGAACTTGAAACACATTTATTTTGCGTTAAAAATCAACACTAGTCCTGTAGTCCTTACCAAACTGCCCAATAATTAAGGTATCATAAGGACTAGTAGAAATTTGCCCTTTTCAAGGGTTTTGCTATATGTTATCATTATAAGGACTTGTGAACAAAAATGTTAGTTTCTACTGCTGTTTATGATGATGATTATTATTCCTTTTTAGCATTGCCTTTCTTGAAGAACACACGACTGTTACTGTACCCCATCACAGGCATGGTGCTAGTGTACATCCTGTCCCTCATCTTTCAATGGAACTTCAGTTGGGGGCTCTGCAGCTTCTACCGCAACCGGGTCATGTAGGCCAACCCCGCGGAGCCCAGCTGAGCCCTGCGGAGCCATGCGGAACCTGAGTTATGCAAACACGAGTGACCTGTGGGATACTGGTCCATTGACCCTCACATCAATATCATTGCAACCTGTTACCATGACTCCCAGGTCAGTGTAGTTCTGCTGGGGCAGATTGTCGATACCATCACTGATGTTTCTTCAGAGGATGTGGAGTAAGGCATTGCGGAGTCACCTGTTGCACTGTGATTGATATTGTCTCACATGTTGGGGGAGAGGTCAGGTGGATTTGATGAACGTTTTAAGTGTTCAAATGTGTCCTAAGAACAAGGCAGTGCTGTCATGGTACGGCATGGAAACGTCATTACAAAGTGGTTCACATGAACATGTTAAGGAGACACTCTTTCTATTGCTTCATTTATCTGTTTATACTTGAAGAATGTGGGTTATTATTACACGATATATTTCCACATTCACTGCTTCAGATGACTAGTTTAGCCAGTGTGCTGAAACTGACCACTGTTCTGAATTACTTTGTGTCTGACAATATAGAATATGTGTCGACGGTTTTCATTCAACATGTGTGTGTACTTGGTTACTGTTGAGCGTTATGAGGGTTGCGACCCGTGAAGATCCGGGGTAGAATAGGTCTTCATCAACCCATGCTTGTCGTAAGAGGCAACTAACGGGATCGGTTGGTCAGGCTCGCTGACTTGTTTGATGCATGTCACCGTGTCTCAATTGTGTGGATCGATGCTCTTGATGTCAATCACTGGATTGTCAGGTCCAGACTCGATTATTTACAGACTGCCGTCATATAGCTGGATTATTACAGAGTGCAGCCTTAAACAACAAACATCATCATCATCATTATTATCATCATCAGTATGAGGGTTGCACTAATGTGAGGGAATTTTGATATACTGTGTCACATGGATGCATATTGTGAACAGCTGGATGTGAACAGCTGGTGAATTATGACCTATATGTATTGACTGTGATGTAAAAAAGTCAATGATATACCGAGCAGACTGAGAATGTATCATGTATCATTTATTGATCTTTACCTGTCAGAGTTTTGGAGTCCAGACAGCATGTGATAATATAAGCATGTCTTTTTCCTTCCTCTGGGTCAGGCTGTCCTTGTGGCACAGAGCGTGCTGCTGGTGTTCTCAGCATTGATTAGTGGGTTACAGAGTGGAGAAGCTCTGGGAAACATTCTGTCTCATCTCGGGCTGAAAAACTGGAAGCTATTGACTTTCAGAACATTGCTTTGGATTAGGTTTGCAGGTCAGCAGACTGTTTTATTAGGATTTAAAGGAATTGCTATCTAATGATGGAATTTTTTGTACTAAAAATAGCATTGGATATATTTTGCATGTGTAAGTTGAAGGGATCGGGGTCACTGAGCAAGTGAGTTCAAATGTGATGTCACATCAGCATTTGTTTCAGCCATATTGAGGAATGAGTTTTGACAGTGGGGCTTATATGAACTTTTACCATGCCCATAGACACTTTTGGTGAAATCTGAGCTAAGCAGTGTTCTAGATTGTCTGTTGAGAGTACACGAATAGTTGTTTGCTTCATACATCATGTACACAGCTGTGTGAGATTGTGAAGACGAGGGACTGCAGACTGAGATTGATCAGCATGCAGATATAGGGGAAATTACACAGCAGATATAGGGGATATTACACAGCAGATATAGGGGATATTACACAGCAGATATAGGGGATATTACACAGCAGATATAGGGGATATTACACAGCAGATATAGGGGATGTTACACGGCAGATATAGGGGATATTACACAGCAGATATAGGGGATATAACACAGCAGATATAGGGGTTATTACACAGCAGATATAGGGGATGTTACACGGCAGATATAAGGGATATTACACAGCAGATATAGGGGATATTACACAGCAGATATAGGGGATATTACACAGCAGATATAGGGGATGTTACACGGCAGATATAGGGGATATTACACAGCAGATATAGGGGATATTACACAGCAGATATAGGGGATATTACACACATGGGGAAAAGAAATTGCATATGTTATAAGTTTGATTATGGTTTTGATTATCATATCTGCTTGGCCACATCCCAAGACACTGTTTCAAAGCAAATAAAAGTTGTTTTGTTTTTTGTTTAATTTTGTATTTTTCGAGATTATAATTTTACCAACAGCTGCTGTTATGTTCTTTGTTTGCTTTTTATCATTGTAATTTTCATAAGTTGCTGGAAACTTGCCTCTATGATCTGAGCAATAAGATTAAAGTTCTCAGGGCTTGATACAGTAACTACAGTGCTTGTTTGAGACTATGGGCTTCACGCAGCAGCTACTAGTGCTTGACCACTTATCTGTGAGGATTGATCTGTGACAAGATTGTTTATCTAAGACTGTTGTATTCATGGCTTAACAGCAACTTGGCTGCTTACCTGTGACTGTTGTATTCATGGCTTAACAGCAACTTGGCTGCTTACCTGTGACTGTTGTAGCCTTGGCTTAACAGGAACTTGGCTGCTTACCTGTGACTGTAGTAGCCATGACGTAGCACAGCAACTAGGCTGCTTACCTGTGACTGTAGTAGCCATGACTAAACACAGCATCTTGGCTGCTTACCTGTCACTGTAGTAGCCAAGACGTAGCACAGCAACTAGGATGCTTTCCTGTGACTGTTGTAGCCAGGGCTTAACACAGCAACCAGGCTCCTTACCTGAGATCGATGTAGGCATGACTTAGCACAGCAACTAGGATACTTACCTGTGACTGTTGTAGCCAGGGCTTAACACAGCAACCAGGCTGCTTACCTGAGATCGATGTAGGCATGACTTTACACATTAACCAGGCTGCTTACCTGAGATCGATGTAGGCATGACTTAACACAGCAACTTGGCTGATTACCTGAGACTAATGTTCCTAGGACTCAACACAGTGTGTGATAGAAGTTAATCATGGCATTAAGTTTATTTCAGAGACAAATCCTGAATCTTGGCATTCCTGATTAAGACCAAGTCAATTGATGACTTTAAATTTACCTGCTTGTTTAATAATATCCACAGGAAATCCTAATGCACTTTAAATTCTCATATTACAGATGCTTGGGTTTGTGAAACTAGTATCTAGAAGGATCTAGATGCTTAATTAAACCTTATTATTTTGGAAATATTATTTACCTGAAATATGACTTTATCACTATTATTTATTTACCACAATCCAGGCCTGTTCTGTTATATGTGTTTGTCTTATTGTGTATCAATTATTCCGAGTATTTAACTGTATAGGTCTTGGGAGACCCTCTGGTCTTGTTGGGCCCCCATGTACATTGTACATATCCACATATCTCTTTGTAAATTGCTGTTTCACAATCTATGTATGTACATACTCTTATGTATGAATTATGTAATTATGTGTATATATTTGTAAATAAAAGTGGGAAACATTGGCTATATTTTTGTATGTACTTGGAATAAGAGTTTTAAAATGATCTTTTGAAATCAGATCTTAGTTCTCACTACCCCAAAACAAAGGAACTTTGGTTGCGAAAGTGTTCTTTTCTTCGGCCAGCTAACCACCACCCTTTTGTAGGAGGTAGTCTTTCTGACGAGAGGAAGGATGGTGGTTGGATCTCCTGGCCGCATCACACCAACCAAAGATTGTATATACGTCCGTGCACCAACAGATGTTGAAATATAGTCTGGACTAGTACAACCAGCCACATATACCAAGCATAGGGGGCACGGGTAGCCCAGTCATCTAAGGTGCCAGGATTCGCTGTGCAGAGTTGCATCCCTTGGGCACGCTGGAAGCCTATGATAGTGGGTACAAATCCCGGTTCGCCCCGATTATGTTTCTAGGTTTGTCAGCACAATACCCGTGCTGGTGGGTTTCACCAAAGATGTAAACGTCTGAGACCTGCATCACTTTGGGCTTTCCTCCCACATTAAACTGACACGCTGTGATATAGCTGGAATACTGTTAAAAGCAGTGTATAATCCAACTCACTCACACTCACTCTCATTATAAGTGGAATAATCTTGCACATGAGGTCAAACCCCTTTTCACCATTGACATGTGTAGATGGAGGAGAACTCAAACTAATGTGGCCTTTAAATTGTAGCCAACTTTTCTCTCTTTGAAAGTAGCCAAACCTTAGCACTATGAAAGTAACCAGCCTTATCACTATGAAAGTGGCCAACCTTATCACTATGAAAGTGGCCAACCTTAGCACTATGAAAGTAGCCAAACCTAAGCACTATGAAAGTAACCAGCCTTATCACTATGACATGGCCAACCTTATCACAACGAAAGTGGCCAACCTTAGCACTCTGAAAGTGGCCAACCATGGCACTATGAAAGTGGTCAACCTCTGCACTATGAAAGTGGCCAACCTTATCACTATGAAAGTAACCAGCCTTATCACTATGACGTGGCCAACCTTAGCACTATGAAAGTGGCCAACCTCAGCACTCTGAAAGTGGCCAACCATGGCACTATGAAAGTGTCCAACCTTAGCACTATGAAAGTGGCCAACCATAACACTATGAAAGTAGCCAACCATAGCACTATGAAAGTGTCCAACCTTATCACAACGAAAGTGGCCAACTTTAGCACTATGAAAGTAACCAGCCTTATCACTATGACGTGGCCAACCTTAGCACTATGAAAGTGGTCAACCTCAGCACTCTGAAAGTGGCCACCCATGGTACTGTGAAAGTGGTCAACCTCTGCACTATGAAAGTGGCCAACCTTATCACTATGAAAGTGGCCAACCTTATCACTATGAAAGTGGCCAACCTTATCACTATGAAAGTAACCAGCCTTATCACTATGACGTGGCCAACCTCTGCACTATGAAAGTGGCCAACCTTATCACTATGAAAGTAACCAGCCTTATCACTATGACATGGCCAACCTTATCACAACGAAAGTGGCCAACCTTAGCACTCTGAAAGTGGCCAACCATGGCACTATGAAAGTGGTCAACCTCTGCACTATGAAAGTGGCCAACCTTATCACTATGAAAGTAACCAGCCTTATCACTATGACGTGGCCAACCTTAGCACTATGAAAGTGGCCAACCTCAGCACTCTGAAAGTGGCCAACCATGGCACTATGAAAGTGGTCAACCTCTGCACTATGAAGGTGGCCAACCTTATCACTATGAAAGTGTCCAACTTTACGACTATGAAAGTGGCCAACCATAACACTATGAAAGTAGCCAACCTTAGCACTATGAAAGTGGCCAACCTCAGCACTCTGAAAGTGGCCAACCATGGCACTATGGAAGTGGTCAACCTAAGCACTATGAAAGTGGCCAACCATATCACTATGAAAGTGTCCAACCTTAGCACTATGAAAGTGGCCAACCATAACACTATGAAAGTAGCCAACCTTAGCACTATGAAAGTGCCCAACCTTATCACAACGAAAGTGGCCAACCATATCACTATGAAAGAGTCCAACCTAGCACTATGAAAGTGGCCAACCATAACACTATGAAAGTAGCCAACCTTAGCACTATGAAAGTGGCCAACCTCAGCACTCTGAAAGTGGCCAACCATGGCACTATGAAAGTGGTCAACCTCTGCACTATGAAAGTGGCCAACCATATCACTATGAAAGTGTCCAACCTTAGCACCATGAAAGTGGCCAACCATAACACTATGAAAGGGGTCAACCTCTGCACTATGAAAGTAACCAGCCTTATCACTATGACGTGGCCAACCTTAGCACTATGAAAGTGGCCCACCTTAGCCCTATGAAAGTAGCCAACCTTAGCACTATGAAAGTAACCAACTTTAGCACTATGACATGGCTGACCTTAGCACTATTAAAGTGGCCAACCTTAACACTATGAAAATAGCAAAACCTTAGCACTTTGAAAGTGGGCAACGTTAACACTATGAAAGTGTCCAACCTTAGCACTATGAAAGTGGCCAATCTTAGCACTATGAAAGTGGCCATCCTTAGCACTATGACATGGCCAACCTTAGCACTATGAAAGTAGCCAGCCTTAGCACAATGAAAGTAGCCAATCTTAGCACTATGAAAGTGGCCATCCTTAGCACTATGAATGTCGCAAAACTTTGGCACTATGAAAGTGTCCAATCTTAGCACTATGAAAGTAGCCAACCTTAGCACTATGAAAGTAGCCAACCTTAGCACTATGAAAGTAGCCAACCTTAGCACTATGAAAGTGTCCAATCTTAGCACTATGAAAGTGGCCAGCCTTAGCACTATGAATGTCGCAAAACTTTGGCACTATGAAAGTGTCCAATCTTAGCACTATGAAAGTGGCCAGCCTCAGCACAATGAATGTCGCAAAACTTTGGCACTATGAAAGTAGCCAACCTTAGCACTATGAAAGTAGCCAGCCTTAGCACTATGAAAGTGTCCAATCTTAGCAATATGAAAGTAACCAGCCTTATCACTATGAAAGTGTCCAATCTTAGCAATATGAAAGTAGCCAGCAATAGCACAATAAAAGTGGCCAACCTTAGTTCTATGATGTTGCCAACCTTAGCACTATGAAAGTGGCCAACCTTAGCACTATGAAAGTGGCAAACTTTAGCAATATGAAAGTGGCCAACCTTATCACTATGAAAATAGCAAAACCCTAGCACTATAAAAGTGGCCAACCTCAGCACAATGAAAGTAACCAACCTTAGCACTATGAAAATAGCAAAACCTTAGCACCATGAAAGTGTCCAACCTTAGCACTATGAAAGTGGCCAGCCTTAGCACTATGAAAGTGGCCAACCTTAGCACTAAGAAAGTGGCCAACCTCAGCACTCTCAAAGTGGCCAACCTTAGCACTATGAAAGTGGCAAACCTTAGCACTATGAAAGTGGCCAACCTTATCACTATGAAAATAGCAAAACCTTAGCACTATGAAAGTGGCAAACCTTAGCACTATGAAAGTGGCCATACGTATCACTATGAAAAAAGCAAAACCCTAGCACCATCAAAGTGGCCAACCTCAGCACAATGAAAGTGGCCAACCTTAGCACTATGAAAGTGGCCAACCTCAGCACAATGAAAATGGCCAACCTCAGCACAATGAAAGTGGCCAGCCTTAGCACTATGAAAGTGGCCAACCTTAGCACTATGAAAGTAGCCAACCTCAGCACTAAGAAAGAAGCCAACCGTAGCACTATGAAAGTTGCCAACCTCAGCACAATGAAAGTGGCCTACCTTAGCACTATGAAAGTAGAAAAACCTTAGCACCATGAAAGTGTCCAACCTTAGCACTATGAAAGTGGCCAGCCTCATCATTATGAAAGTAGCCAACCTCAGCACTAAGAAAGAAGCCAACCGTAGCACTATGAAAGTTGCCAACCTCAGCACAATGAAAGTGGCCAACCTTAGCACTATGAAAGTAGAAAAACCTTAGCACCATGAAAGTGTCCAACCTTAGCACTATGAAAGTGGCCAACCTCAGCACTCTGAAAGTGGCCAACCTCTGCACTATGAAAGTGGCCAACCTTATCACTGTGAAATAAGCCAGCATTAGCACTATGAAAGTGGCCAACCTCAGCACAATGAAAGTAACAAACCTTAGCACTATGAAAGTAACCAACCTTAGCACTATGAAGGTAACCAACCTTAGCACTATGAAAGTAACCAACCTTAGCACTATGAAAGTAACCAACCTTAGCACTATGAAGGTAACCAACCTTAGCACTATGAAGGTAACCAACCTTAGCACTATGGTAAAAATCCTTGTGTGGTCTCTGTCTGAGCCCGTACATCACGTTCCATACACGGTAGTGAGTATTACACTGAAGTTTGTTACGTACGTGCACGCAGTGTTACATGTTATTTGAATAATCCAACGTCAGTCCACAAATATGTCAGTCTTCAACCAACTGACGCAATCTTCAACCAACTGACTCAATCTTCAACCAACTGACGCAATCTTCAACCAACTGACTCAATCTTCAACCAACTGACTCAGTCTTCAACCTGCTGACTCAATCTTTAACCAACTGACTCAATCTTCAAGCTGCCGACTCAATCTTCAACCAACTGACTCCATCTTCAACCAACTGACTCAATCTTCAACCAACTGAATCCATCTTCAACCAACTGACTCAGTCTTCAACCAACTGACTCAGTCTTCAACCCGCTTACTCAATCTTCAACCAACTGACTCAGTCTTCAACCTGCTGACTCAATCTTCAACCAACTGACTCAATCTTCAACCTGCTGACTCAATCTTCAACCAACTGACTCAGTCTTCAACCTGCTGACTCAATCTTCAACCAACTGACTCCATCTTCAACCAACTGACTCAGTCTTCAACCAACTGACTCAGTTTTCAACCTGCTGACTCAATCTTCAACCAACTGACTCAATCTTCAACCTGCTGACTCAATCTTCAACCAACTGATTCAATCTTCAACCTGCTGACTCAATCTTCAACCAACTGACTCAGTCTTCAACCTGCTGACTCAATCTTTAACCAACTGACTCAGTCTTCAACCTGCCGACTCAATCTTCAACCAACTGACTTAGTCTTCAACCAACTGACTCCATCTTCAACCAACTGACTGAGTCTTCAACCTGCTGACTCAATCTTCAACCAACTGACTCAATCTTCAACCAACTGACTCCATCTTCAACCAACTGACTCAATCTTCAACCAACTGACTCAGTCTTCAACCTGCTGACTCAGTCTTCAACCTAAACAGTTTCAGAACATTCAGTAAATGGGAATTTGAAATAATTTTGACAATGAACGCGCTAGTTCGAGAAAGATGGTCACTGAATATCTCAAGTACCACAACGTAACTTAATGTGATAAACAGTTCAAGGTTGATTTGAACTAAAAGAAGTACGAAATAAGTATGTTGTAAGGTAGCTAGCTATGCAGTCACAAGGTACAATATCTGAGAATTGAAATGTTCCCTCATGACCCCCAGTAGAGAGCCTCCTCGACGGAGTGAGTGAGTATGATTTTACGCCGCTTTTAGCAATATTCTAGCAATATCACGACGGGGGACACCAGAAATGGGCTTTACGCATTGTACCCATGTCGGGAATCGAACCGCATCTTCGGCGTGACGAGCAAACGCTTTAACAACTAGGCTACCCGACCCTTCTCGACGGAGAAATTCGAACTCGATGCCGTAGTGGATAAGAGATGCATTGGGAGAATATTCACAGCATTACATGAAATATGATCCTCACACTGACATCAACTCACCACACCACACTCGCTACAGTTCCCAGATAAGACTTTTATCCTCATCCATGTCTACAAATATCCCAGGAATATGTCAGACGTTATCATATTCCGTTGAGCTATGGCAATCAAGTGCACTATGGCCAAATACTGTTGAACCACCTTCAAAGGTACCCATCGCGTTGCAGTCGGCAAGACACCCATCCTTCAATGCCGGGAATGCTATCCCCGCAGCAACACATGCCGTACACGTCCGCTTCAGACAAACTCGATCTTTTTTCTCGATTATGATCATTGGGTATAAGTTGGGTTCTCCTGACCATTTACAGACCGCCGTCATATAGCTGGAATATTGCTGAGTGCGGCGTTAAACAACAAACAAACAAACAGGCGGGCGTCATATTGCTGGAACATTGCTGAAAACGGCGTTTAACAGCAAACTGACCAATGACAAACATAAGATGAACATATTATAATCGTCAAAAACAAATTGGGTCCATCTACCCGAGGCAAGGGCGTTAACTGACTATAATAGTCCACCGGACTTCTGTCGACAGTTTACGCCCTTGCCTCGGGACGATGAATTGGGTCAGGCATATGCTTTTATCTTTATTTTATATGTGGTTTCAGCAAGATGTCCAGTTTGGTTTTAACATGAGCGTACTGAATGAATTTGTTTAAAATTGAACGCTGGTAATATGCCAGGTGTACCATAACGCCCTGTAAATGTTCGAGCCTGGACCAGGCAAACCATTGTCTGAAAGATTTAGGAACGATAGTCATCGAGGCACAATGACACGGCTAAGCCGAGTTACAGCCTGGTCACACAACACCATTAACTCCCCTCCTACGACCAGCAATAGGACGCCAACTCTCCCCCCGACTATCAACCAACATCCACCCACCCACCCACCCCACCTCGCCCAAAATCCACACTCACAGCTATCTGGGAACGGTAACAATGTTACCGTCGGTGATGAGAACAAGAAATATTTTTCATTGTCCAGAAGATCCTCAATATTTTCTTTGATTATGTCACATTCGACACGAATCGATAATTTCCGTCTTAAGGCGGCAGGGGGAATGACAGAAGCGCCTGAAAATGCCTCGGACATGATGCGAGCGTCTAAATATAGCAGCCGGTTTCCACTTGTTGACTCATAATACAACGATGCGGATCCATACAGACACGTCTGTGCAGAATACCACACCGGCTCGCTCACACCATGCAGGACGACGGTAAATACGACACTCGTTTTATTTCACTAATCACGTTGTAAATTCTCGACCATCTAGCTACCTTTTGTCTTGGTGACCATATTGACTGTCTAGCCTCGACCCCCAGCAGAGCGCAGATGGCTTTCTCGCGAAGAGGAATGCATAAGACCAACGTGACATAGCGTTGTTTACACGAACCATTCCCTACCTGCCGTGTAAACAACACCAGCTTCGTTGCAGTGATTTTTGGATCAGAATTATCACACCGTTGTAATCTGTGGTCAATGTTTTTAATTTATCAGCCTGAGCTGTTCCGCCATTCATAATGCTGCGAGTCATTATTCGTCTTTTCTTATGAAGTGCCATTTTATCTATATGGGTATGCTTATATATCGACGTCTACTGCATGTGATATCTGAATTTCTCAGCGGATAGTATCGTTGATCTGATTTAGGCTGTTCATTAAAGACGTTCAGATATTTTATTGGAGAAGATTTTGCCATTGGCTAAAGCGTGAGTCATTTGAGGGCCGATGACAAGCATCTTTAATTACATACATGTAGTCACAAGTTTTACGGCGTATATTTCATATTATGTTCAGAACCAAACCCAGTAGCATATATTAACCTCATTCACATAATTATTTACCATGATATTATTACATAATATTACACACGTTTGCGATAAGGCTGTCTCACAAGAAACACCTGTTTGATCATTCATAATTGACGTTGCAAATAACGCTTGATAGTATACATGTTTGATAAAATCCGCCTTATCCGAAACCGCTCCAAATAATGGTATTTTGCACACAAAAATTGATTATAAAGTTTTTCCGAGTCTGATTTCATTCCCCCCTCACGTATTGAATTAAGTAATTTCATAAGATTACAAATCACAGTTGGCAGTTGCATCGAGTATTGATCGTTCAACGTCAACATGTTTAGGTTAACTTGAGAAAAATCGATTACAGAGAACCATGTATCATGGTCTCGGAATATGAATGACAATCTGTATCAGAAAAAAAAATATATTGCTGTTAATGTTCCCGGTTCTTTTTAAAGATATAAATTAGGACAAAACGTCACGCTTAAATTGTGTTTATCCGTACACAGGCCTAGAGTGTTTACTGTAATGTGTATGAATCACGGCGGTGTGTCATGCCGGCATATTAGAAAAGGGAAGTATTGTATATACAGTGTGGAATGACTGTTTATGAAGGGAGAAAGGTCACGTTATAATTGAGCCATTACACCGCCCGGGTTCTGGGTGAGAGCAAATAGCCAGCACTGGCTTACATACATGGCAATTTTCTTTGTTGTTTTCCGTGCGTGTCTCCGTGTGCTGTTGATATGATCTTTGTGTACCATTTGCTTATACTGAGCGTGGTTGTTGTCTGGTATATTGACGTGTGTTGTGTACAGAAAGTTTGTTTTGTGTGGTATGCTTACAGCTTGTGTTGTGACCTGACTTGGTTGAATGATGGCTGAGTTTATGCCCTGAAGACATCCATGTTTTTGCTGTGTAAATTCTAAGAGAGAGAGAGAGAGAGAGAGAGAGAGAGAGAGAGAGAGAGAGAGAGAGTGGGAGATAGGGAGGGGGGAGGAGAGAGAGGGTGGAGGGATAGGGAGAGGGAGGGAGAGGGTGGAGGGAGAGGGAGGGAGAGGGAGAGGGAGGGAGAGGGAGAGGGAGGGAGAGGAGAGAGAGGGTGGAGGGAGAGGGAGAGGGAGGGAGAGGGAGAGGGAGGGAGAGGGAGAGGGAGGGAGAGGAGAGAGAGGTGGAGGGATAGGGAGAGGGAGGGAGAGGAGAGAGAGGGTGGAGGGAGAGGGAGAGGGAGGGAGAGGAGAGAGAGGGTGGAGGGAGAGGGAGAGGGAGGGAGAGGAGAGAGAGGGAGGGAGAGGGAGAGGAGAGAGAGGGTGGAGGGAGAGGAGAGAGAGGGTGGAGGGAGAGGGAGAGAGAGGGTGGAGGGATAGGGAGAGGGAGGGAGAGGGAGAGGGAGAGGGAGGGAGAGAGGGTGGAGGGAGAGGGAGAGGGAGGGAGAGGAGAGAGAGGGTGGAGGGAGAGGGAGGGAGAGGAGAGAGAGGGTGGAGGGATAGGGAGAGGGAGGGAGAGGAGAGAGAGGGAGAGAGAGGAGGGAGAGGAGAGAGGGTGGAGGGTTAGGGAGAGGGAGGGAGAGGAGAGAGAGGGAGAGGAGAGGGTGGAGGGATAGGGAGAGGAGAGAGAGGGTGGAGGGAGAGGGAGAGGGAGGGAGAGGAGAGAGAGGGAGAGGAGAGGGTGGAGGGATAGGGAGAGGAGAGAGAGGGTGGAGGGAGAGGGAGAGGGAGGGAGAGGGAGGGAGAGGAGAGAGAGGGAGAGGAGAGGGTGGAGGGATAGGGAGAGGAGAGAGAGGGTGGAGGGAGGGAGGAGAGGGAGGGAGAGGAGAGAGAGGGAGAGAGAGGAGGGAGAGGAGAGAGGGTGGAGGGTTAGGGAGAGGGAGGGAGAGGAGAGAGAGGGAGAGGAGAGGGTGGAGGGATAGGGAGAGGAGAGAGAGGGAGAGAGGGTGGAGGGAGGGAGGAGAGGGAGGGAGAGGAGAGAGGGTGGACGGACAGGGAGAGGGGGGAGAGGAGAGAGGGAGAGAGAGCGTTACACTGTTTAATTTAAAACATTGATTTGTAGCAGGAAATGATCACTCTCTGAAGGATGTTATACATGGTGAAAGTGTTTAATTGTTTCTGATATATTTAAATATTAGAAATTTTATGAAAATACGTATGAATTGGCATGATTGGATGAAGTCGGGTGTTATCAGCAGTAGAAATGTTTGAAGACATGCCAAGTTACGTCATCAACGTGAAGTAGTTGTGTAGCCTTATCTTGTTTGCATGCATTGTAAGACAGTACAAGAAGAGCTTGGCATTAGAATGCAGCGTGCTCTAAATCAATATCAGTTTACTCAGTATGTAGGCCCCTCGGCCCATAACTCTCACTTCACGTGATAAATAATAATTCATTATCGTAATTGCCATCACGAATGTGTTTAAACAAAATACAACATACTGCTTACCTCTCAGCAGTTGCCTGTCCCGAGTGATTACATAACATAATGTTTAAATTTATACCTTTACAAATTCAAGTGGCTTAAAGTGACATGCTGTGTTTGAAACAACATTCATAAATATGAGACATTTGCATCCTCAGTACATACATAAAAAAACATGCATCTATCCAATTCTTCCAATTGATAAAAACTTTCCAAGCTTCCATTCCCATGTTACACGTGTTTAATACAGTATTGATACATAAGTTAATGTAAGATGGATGTAGATATTTCTCTCTGTAACAGTTATACATTGGACAAACAGAAAATGTTTTTCATCTTCCCCAATGGAGAAATATTATCCCACCTGCCCGTCTCAATGCTTCATCTCTGTAGTGTGAAGGATGTAGGCTCGGTTGTATCGACATGTTTTGGTATGCCAGGCTCGGTGGGCTGGAATAGCTTGATCACAACACTGTATATATTGTAGTAGGAATATGAAGGCTTTATTATGTTCTTTATTATCATTATTACGTCTGTTGGTCATGTTCACGACAATGCTATTTGCAAAACAATTCGGTTGTGGGTTGAACACGGCTGTTGGAGATGTTTTGGATGTATCGATGTATGTGTTTTTTTTCAGGTCAGAATTCACAAAAGGGGAAAATACGCCGGTGCTTAAGGTTGCCTATACAGTGAGTATTTAGTATCAGCAGTGCTTATATGTGCTTACAAATGGACACGAGAGAGTGTATTAATACAGTACCTTGTCAAAATAATTTTATATTCTCTAATTAAGTGACAAAATACACACAAGTTTGACATGTCTTGATTGAATTCAGCTCACCTTTACTAAACTAGAACATTGAGTAAATGGACGTTGTTTGCGCTCAGTCAGCGCTGGGAAGCATGTGAATGCTGTAAATCCAGGCAAATCCAATGATGTATGTATGAGCAGCGGTCCACGCAATCGTAGCCGAATGCTATACCATTACCCAGGCCACTAAGAGCCGGATACCGATTTTGGGGCTCGTATGGTTGGCATGCGGCCCAAGGGTCCAATTCTGCTGGGAATTCACACGCGATGTCCCCTTGGGGAAATATTGCAAACATATCTTCGGGAGCGACCTTAGGGTCGTAAGCAAGAGTTTGCTTGTTGTTTAACGCCGCACTCAGCAATAGTCCAGCTATATGATGGCGGTCTGTCAATAATGGAGTCTGGACCAGACAATCTCGTGATTGATATCATGAGCATCGATCCACACAATTGGGATCGATGACATGCATGAACCAAGACAGCAAGCCTGACCACCCGATCCCGTTAGTGGCCTCTTACGACAAGCACCGTCGCCTTTTACGGCAAGCATGGGTTGCTGAAGACCTGTTCTACCCCGGATCTTCACGGGTCTTACATGCATGAACAATAATCCACACATGCTGATTTTACCACATTATCTTTGAAACTGGGCAGTTATTGTTCCGTAGAACGTGAATGACCTTTAGGCTACCTTCAGCACTCACCAATCAGCACGAACGGCCACGTTGTGTATGGCGCTACAAGAGTTGCGTTCCATTGTGTGTCAGGATTCGGTGATCAGGTGTTCGCATCCCAGATTGTCTCCAATTATGATCCTTGGTTTGTCAGCACAATATCTATGCTCATAGAATTCACGAAGGTAGTAAACGCCTAGGACCTTCATCTCTTATAAACCTATACTGTTGTTTAAGTCGGTGTTCATCCCAACTGAGTCACTCGCATAATGGCTTCATTGTATGATGAAAGATATAATTAATTCATCCATACGACTGTCATCGTCATGCTTCAATGATGCTAAGTGTCTTAAACAGTCTGATGCTATGTCCCATGTTTGTAAGTTCAATCTTGATGGTCTTCGGTTTTCTCTACATAGTCTTAACAATCATAGCTAATCATGATATATTACTGTGGTCAACCCTATGAAGCCAGTATGCTGTGGTTGGTTATCGTTTTGGAAAGTTACGCTGAATACAGCACTTTAAGTGAAGACGGCTATTTTACGGCTATAGGTCTGGACAGACGGTACACTTGTCCATAGACTCATAGAAATGCAGCGCCAAAGCATGTGTGTATCTCGGGAGCAAGGAACCTCCATATTCTGTATGTCAAGGGGGCGTCATCGTCTATTTCTCAGTGCTTTATGTCTTTATATCATTATGCTAAATACCATGGACCCGTTTGTTTCCAAAGCTTTATTTTGAGTCCAGTCCAATTCGAATGTCATCGCTAAATACTGTATTGCCGTCCAATCAAATTGCACTAATGTGCGAGCGAAATATATTGGAAGTCATGCCATACGTATCTTCCCGAGGCAAGAGAGTTAATTGACTTTAATAGTCCCTAATAGTCAGTTAACTCTCTTGCCTCGGGAAGATGTGCCAAGCGGGGTTAAATCAAACTCGCTCACTCGTTTGTCTTTTTATTTCTTTCATAATATATATTACACCTACTCCTGGCTCAGATTTATTGACGAATGCACCAGATTCAAACATCTGCCTCTCAGAACAAATGCAGACTACGATGTATCGATCTCTGAATGTGAATGACGGCCTGACATGCTATACCACCTCGATATAAGGCTATGGGACTGTTATCAACATTATTCTAAATTTCAGACCGCCTCAAGAAGTTATCCCTGTTGATCTAGAGACAGAAGGCACGTTGACCCTGGGAGGGGAGCGCGTGCCATGTGATGCGGGGGACCTAGAGCACCTGAGCTCGCTGGGGCAGGGCGACTCGGGAGATGTGGATTACATGCTGCACAGACCCTCCGGGATACCTGTGGTGGTTAAGGTACGATATATCGATACTGTGCTTCGATACATTACATAAACACCCTCGAGGAAACTCCACGATATATCGATTACATACACAACCTCGAGGAAACTCCACGATATATCGATACTGTGCTTCGATACATTAAACACACAGCCTCGAGGAAACTCCACGATATATCGATATATCGATACTGTGCTTCGATGCATTACACACACAGCCTCGAAGAAACTCCACGATATATCGATACTGTGTTTCGATACATTACACACACAGCCTCGAGGAAACTCCACGATATATCGATACTGTGCTTCGATACATTACATACACAACCTCGAGGAAACTCCACGATAGATCGATACTGTGCTTCGATACATCACATACACACCCTCGAGGAAACTCCACGATACAGCGATACACTATACACAGACTCTTGGCGATAACTGTGGTGGTTACTTGGGGTGTCACGATAAATCGAAATATTGCTATATTGCTATTGGTAAGCACTGAAAGTCAATAAATCGATTGTTTAATCACTTTCCGATCAATAGTATCGATTTCAGTTAGGAATATCGATAGTTTCGATTGTACTTACCATATCAATAAAATATCCATCTAAAATGATACACTGAAAACTATCGATATTTATCGCAATAGTTTCTTTCAATATCAATAGTTATCGCAATAGTGATTTCCAGACCAATAGTCACCCCTAGTGGTCACCCCTACACACACAAGGTCGATACACTATACAGGAAACCCACTGTGGTGCGATGTATCGATACTCTATATCGATACAACAAACATACACACACCCTCGGGAAAACCCGTGGTTGTACGATATAACAATTTTCCCATAACAGGGCTTTATCTTCAATCGCCAGTAGTGGTTTATTCGCAGTGGTTTATTTTTTTTCACCCAATCAGATTGGCTGGCTGAGGGAGGTGAATTGTGTCATCCCGTTTTGATTGGCTGGCTAAAAATAATTGACGGCACTATTTTCGGGTCGGGGATACCCGAGGTCGTCTAGTACAGGAAATCCCCAGCTGGCAAAAATTACCGTAGTGACGATGTTTCCAACTCCGAAATTTGGTGACCGAGAGAAAATTTGTAGGGGAAGAAGGGGTGTGATATGTGGAGATATATCAGAATTTCGGCTGCCCAATGTACAATATTTAGTTGCAGAATGAGAAGACGGTAACCGAAGCGAGATACCCCATCGATATTACGGGACCAGGGCCCACTTGCACAAAGCAATCTTAGCGCTAAGACTGTTGTAAGCCTATGCTGAAGTATGGGAGTTACGATCATCTTAGCGCTAAGATCGCTTTGTGCAAGTGGGCCCTGGTGAGCAACTCCGGTACATTCTTTACTGGGCGTTTTCAAGGCTAATAACAAAGCTAATGCAACAGTTAATTAATTCATGTAAAAATACCGATGAAATAGTGAAACAAACCATATTGTTTGGTCTTTTTAAAAATTTAACTATCAACCACATAAGAAATGTCTCGTTATAACGAAGTGTTGATCTAGAGCCGATCGATCAAAAACATATTTCACAGTTATAATAAAATAATCGAGACTTAAATTTCATATTTTAAGAAAATAAACACTCAGATAATTTGGATCTAAAGCAATACTCAATTTTAATGCAGGCAACGATCAATCATTGCCGGACGGACCGTACATCTCACGACCAAGATGTTTTGCAACCACAGCAGTTGTTTCCCCTTTCAACGGGTGGAGTTTATCCAGATCAATATAATTAATGTATTTTGCCCTATAATTATTTGGGTTTTTTAAACATGACGACTTCAATTATTTAAACATACCATCTCAGGACAATTAAGAAACTTATTATGAAAAAACACCATTACCCCGTTGAAACTTGAATGTATTCAGTCATACCTAAATCTATATAAACTCAAGAAAGTAATATATGTATTTAGATTTTTTCTTATAGGGAGCAGACAAAATGATGAAGATAAAGATGTTGGGCACCAATCAACCTTATTAGGTATTTTTTTCAAAAACAATATTTTTCTTTTTCAACAATGATGTACATTTATGCATCTTAAAATATATATGGTATTTTAGATAGGATGAAATAAGCTCAAAATTAATTTCATAATATTAGTTTTAGGTAGAAACTCAATATCACAGTTACTTATTTTCAGAATTAACAGACAATACAGAGTATTAAGACATGTAGAATTAGGTTTGTCTCAAGTATATTCTTTAAACTAAAGATTTATTATTTTCCATGTTTACTGAAGAAACCCTTCTTTAATAATGCAATTGTTATATTATCATAGCAGATAAAGAGCCCCAATATACAAAGCTAGCTTAATTGTAATGATAATTATTTAGCATTTCTTTGGATGATAAACTGGACATATGACAAAATAAGAAATGTATTTTTATTTAATATTCTCCCATTACAAGGTTTACTGTGGTTTATGTTTTTGACATAATCTAATTGGCTGCCTGGGAGTATAAAGCTTTGTCGCTGTTTTAATCAGAGACTTTAAATTATTCTAATGTGTAAATTTTCAGAACTGGTAAGTAAAGAAAAACTTAAATTGATGGGTAATGAAGAAATGACCAACAAGAGGTCCTCTTATAACATTTTACCATAAACCTCATTTCTTTACATTAGCAATATCTACTTTTAATGTTAATCCTTTTTTTCAAAAGAAAAATCACATATGAACAGGTCACTAAAATACATATTTATTATATGTCTTGTTTTCATGAAGATAAAAAGAAGAAAATGATAATTTTAAATTACCTATTATCAGTAAGTCTTAACTTCTAATCTGATAAAATAACAAAAGAATAAAGTTTGGAGGCAACTGTTGCAGTACAATAACAATGTAAAATTACAAGGGTATTAAAATGCAAGTATTTGTAGAACTACTGAAATAATAATTTATTGTTTACATATATCCTATAAATTTATGTTTCACACACAATAAATTATTGTGCTTGTCAAATTCAAATAGTTTCTTGTCATTCACAAATATGGGGAAATTAGATGACTCATTTAGTAACAATTTTGGTGTCATGATGTTAAATATTATGTTCAAAGAAAAAATTGTCCATTGAATAAGTTTGTTTATTTTATTTTTATTAAAAACACATGTGCTCACCATGTTCAGGAACAAAAAAAAAGAAAAAAGATGACATGAAATAATCATCATTTTACATATCAAATTATTCACTGTAAAGTTAGTTTTAAAGAGGAAAATTCGTGCCAAAATATTACAATTCATTGATGGATTTGAGAAGATTTAATCAGCTGATCAGTTGCCTGAGTTGGTATTTATAGAATCTTGCCTGATCAGTCCTGCCGACAGTTCCTTGGGCCCTTGTTTTTCGTTAACAATATTTCACAATATTTAAGACAATATTTAATTTCCTCTTAATTGGGTTAATAACATTTGCAAATCCTCGTTCTAATCGTGACAGATTAATCAAGCGATTTTTCGGTAACAACCGAACACAGTGGTTAATCCTCTATAGAACATACACACACCCTCGAGGAAACCCGTGGTTGTACGATACATCGATATTGTATATCGATACAACATATACACACCCACGGGAAAACCCGTGGTTTTGCGATATATCGATACTCTATATCAATACAACATACATGCAACCTCGAGGAAACCCGTGGTGGTGCGATATATCGATATTGAGTTTCGATACCCTATACACACACAACCTCGAGGAAAGACGATATATCGATAGGCTATACTCAGTCGATGCCTGTGGTGGTTACATTATACACAATGCTCCAAACACTAGTCACACCCCGTCGGGGAAACCCGTGGTGATACTATATATCGATACTAAGTTTCGATACTCTATACACACAGACACCTGGCTATACCCGTAGTGGTTATGGTACGGTATATCGATACTATATATCGATATACTTTACGCCTATACCCTTGGTAACGTTGTCGTAATGGCGATAGCTGAGGTGGTACGATATATGTTTTCCAGGTAAACACATGCCTTGCCTGGGGGATACCGAGGTTTGTTAAGGTACGATATATCGATACACGGCAAACACAGGTCCGTCTTGTCTGCTACCGATTGTTGTTAAGGTACGATATATCGATACACGGCAAACACAGGTCCGTCTTGTCTGCTACCGATGGTTGTTAAGGTACGATATATCGATACACGGCAAACACAGGTCCGTCTTGTCTGCTACCGATGGTTGTTAAGGTACGATATATCGATACACGGCAAACACAGGTCCGTCTTGTCTGCTACCGATCGTTGTTAAGGTACGATATATCGATACACGGCAAACACAGGTCCGTCTTGTCTGCTACCGATCGTTGTTAAGGTACGATATATCGATACACTGCAAACACAGGCCCGTCTTGTCTGCTACCGATGGTTGTTAAGGTACGATATATCGATACACGGCAAACACAGGTCCGTCTTGTCTGCTACCGATGGTTGTTAAGGTACGATGTTATATTGATACACGGTAAACACAGGTCCGTCTTGTCCGCTACTGATGGTTGTTAAGGTACGATGTTATATTGATACACGGTAAACACAGGCCCGTCTTGTCCGCTACTGATGGTTGTTAAGGTACGATATATCGATACACGGCAAACACAGGTCCGTCTTGTCTGCTACCGATGGTTGTTAAAGTACGATGTTATATTGATACACGGTAAACACAGGCCCGTCTTGTCCGCTACTGATGGTTGTTAAGGTACGATGTTATATTGATACACGGCAAACACAGGCCCGTCTTATCTGCTACCGATGGTTGTTAAAGTACGATGTTATATTGATACACGGTAAACACAGGCCCGTCTTGTCCGCTACTGATGGTTGTTAAGGTACGATAATATCGATACACGGTAAACACAGGCCCGTCTTGTCCGCTACTGATGGTTGTTAAGGTACGATAATATCGATACACGGTAAACACAGGCCCGTCTTATCTGCTACCGATGGTTGTTAAGGTACGATAATATCGATACACGGTAAACACAGGCCCGTCTTGTCTGCTACCGATGGTTGTTAAGGTACGATAATATCGATACACGGTAAACACAGGCCCGTCTTATCTGCTACCGATGGTTGTTAAGGTACGATATATCGATACACGGTAAACATAGTTCCATCACAGGAATCGCTTAAAGGTAGATTCATCGGTTTGGTCACTCTGAAGGAAATTATTCCAATTTTTGCCATGCGTGCTTCGACGGACTACACGTACAATGAATTAGATTATGCGGTCATATAAGTTTCAGGAACGGCCATCTTCCTGAGGCAAGGGAGTTAATTGACGATAAAAGTCAAGTTTCCACCCTTGCCAAACTAGACTTGAATTTCTGGGCTCGATCGTAGCGCCACCAGTGGTTATTACGAGTTATGTCCTTTCTATGCCTCTCCTATGGACCAATCAGATTCTAGCTCTTGTATCACTTGCCTTTGCTTCAAACAAAATGGCGGAGCCAAGACAAGATGATCTGATCAATAATCAAGATCTATATTGTGATAAAACGGGTCTTACATCGCAAAATGCATCAAAACACGAGAGCACCTTGATTAAAAACATGTAAAGATTTGGAAAATATCTACTGACGCCGAGTTGGCAAATCCTGCAATCGACCGAAATCTGTACCACAGTTTACAAACCCGATTTCGATTTCGTTACGCGATTTTGATTGGGTGAGTAAGTGAGTTGGGTTTAACGTCGCTTTTAACATTATTCCAGTTATAGAACGGCGTGTCTGCTTAATGTGGGAGGAAAGCCTGAAGTGATGCAGGTCTCAGATGTTTACCACTTCGGTGAAACACACGAGCACGTGTATGGTGCTGACAAACCTAGAAACATAACCGGGGCGAATCGGGATTCGAACCCACAATCATAGGTTTCTGGCGTGCCCAAGGGACGGGACGGAATTCTGCACAGCGAATCGCGGCGCTTTAGACGACTGGGCCACCCGTGCCCCCGATTTTGATTTGACTATGCATAGACTCGTTAGTCCAGCCAAAATATAACTCCATAATACCAGCCTAGTTCGGCAAGGGTGGAAACTGGACTTTTAAAGTCAGTTAACGCCCTTGCCTCGGGAAAATGAGGAACAGTTGGATGTCCATAAGATGTCCTCGCACACCCTAACGAAGAAGGTACACTCCTAAAAAAGGACGTTTCGTTATGTATTTGGTCGTTGCTGCGTTTGATACTTCCAAGAATGACCCGATCAGTTAACAAATGACATATTCATACTAATAAGAAATGATTTATGTACTTATGTCTTATACAAATGTATATCAGTATCATTTGTGCGTTTCTGCTTTTGAGAAGTATATGACCCATGCTTGCTATTCAGGTTCTTATTGAAGCTTGTGATTGTCAAGAAGGAGTCAATTGCTATCTTGACCTCTTAGAGAATAGAGGAAATTATGTATGTAACGGTTGAGTCAATCGCTGAAGGGAGTCGTTAGATATACGACGGTTCTAACACAGCACTATCACACAACATGATGCAAGTTGGGCCTTCATCCCGTTTCCTTCATTGATCGCGACTGCACAAGCTCATGGAGTCTATATACGACTTTGTGTAGACTCCCTGATAAGCTTTGCCATCGGGATAGATTCATATGCCCCGGTGAAGTCTGTCTGGCGCTAGATATTACAGGAAAATATAGGAAGTATAGAACTGCACCTGATGTGTGTTTTTGTCTTTTTACAGAGAATCTTGGTAAGAATGGACCGAGAGGAAATCAGCGAACTGCTGCAGGATATCGAGACTATACGGAGTTGCGGCCCTTGTCATGACATCGTGTCCATATATGGAGCGTTCTTCAGGGATGTACGTACTTGAAATACTTCACTTTCAAGTTTGGGTGTGGGGTGGCTCATCTGTTGGTTGTCATGGTTTCACAAGGTTATCATCGTTCCCTGTCCCCTGTTCGAAACCAAGTATCCAGGTTTGACTTTGTATATGGAGCCTTTAACCACGAGTCGTAGGCTCAGTCGTCAGGGAGAAGTATAGGAATCGATTCAAAATGTCGATATAGCATAGTGTTTGTTTGTTTTCTTTAATGTCGCACTCGGCAATATTCCAGTTTTGAATTATCGATTCTACACCAGACAAACCAGTGATTGAAATTAAGAGCAATGTCCACGCCGCTTTTAGCAGTATTCCAGTTCTATCACGGCGTGTCAGCTTAATGTGGGAGGAAAGCCAGAAGTGATGCAGGTCTTGGACGTTTACAATTTCGGTGCAACCCACGAGCACGGGTATGGTGCTGACAAACCTAGGAACATAATCTGGGTGAACCCGGATTCAAACCCACAATCATAGGTTTCTGGCGTACCCAAGGGACACAACTCTGCACAGCGAATTGCGGCGGTTTAAACGACCAGGCCACGTGCACCTCCCAGGGGACCCATGACTAACCCGGGATTTCGACGTCCAGACACACGAGGATGGGTATATGTATGGACGTGCTATTATCAAAACAGTGTTGACCAGAACTCATCAATGTTATCTAAGAGTGGCCAAGTTGTCTAGGGCGCCGGAATTCGCCGTGCAGAGTTGCGTCCCCTGGGACGCCATAAACCTATGATTGTGGGTTTGAATTAGCTTCTTAAATGGTTCATTCGTCGCTGAGATGTCCTGGGTTATATTCTTTAAATGCGGACAATGTGTGAAGTTCGTTCATGTTGAATGCCTGACTGCAATACTGTCGATCTTGTGTAACGTCGTCTCTCTCACCCACTTTCCTGTCCGGATAGTGGGTCTGCCCAGAAGATAGCAAGTTCACAAATCTCGGACGTGTCCTGGATTCGATCTGTACATGTGAAGGATTTGTGAAACCGTGGCCCAGTCTTCGAAGACGACGTTTAGTTCGTGGAGTTGCGTCCCTTAGGCGTGGGCTCAAGTCCCCGGATGTTTTGGTTTGCCTACACCATACCCGTGCTTGTGGGTATAACAAAGTGGTACAGGTCTAAGACCTACTTCACTTCGGGCTCTGCTCCCACTTCAAGCTGACCCGTGAAGATTCCGGGGTAGAATAGGTCTTCAGCAACCCATGCTTGCCGTAAAAGGTGACTATGCTTGTTGTAAAAGGCGACTAACAGGATCGGGTGATCAGGTTCGCTGACTTGGTTGATACATGTCATCGATCCCATTTGCGTGGATCGATGCTCATGATATCAATCACTGGATTGTCTGGTCCAGACTCGATTATTTACAGACCGCCGTCATATAGCTAAAATATTGCTGATTGCGGCGTTAAACAACAAACCAACCAACCCACTTCAAGCTGAAATGCCCTGATATAACTTTAATACTGTTCAAAGCGGCGTAAAGCAAAACCCACCCCTCACGACTCACCCCTTACCCCCGGATTCGCGTACGCCGTACCCCGGCCCAGAGCGTGTGAACCAGGTATCAACGAACACTCCAGCATGACTAATGACCAGTGCTGCACAACTGCTCCAAACATTTCATTGTTGTATGTGGGTTTGACAGTGAAATTACGTGTGACGCTGCCTAAAGCCTACTCATGTGGCACTTAAAAGATGCTGTTACGGACTCTATTGAATAAAGAGATTGCCGGAGTGATCAGTCCCTGAATATGTAGAACAAGAAGCAGCCGACAGCAACACACGTATAAAACATAGGTAGTAGCGTATGTGATCTATCAGCGCAGTGAGGAGAGTGGTATATTTAGCCCTGCGATGACTCACTAAAGCTGATGGATAAAAGTTTGTGTACATTAATGACACGGGGCAACCTGTATCAGTGTTAGACTATCCCGCATTACGTAAGCGGACCAGATGGGGATATCATGTATCAAACTGCGCACTTTAAATTGAACTGAAACTTTTGCGATCAAACCATTATATTTACAAGATTGACCGAACAATCGATGCACTGAAAATTTAAGATATGAGCTGTCAATTCCACTTTAGTCAGTCGTCAGGCCATAATGAATAAATTGTAATAGTTTCACCCTCACCCGTCTCACTGTCTACCACCCCGCTTCCACCACGACTTGTCCCCCAGTACAGACCAGCACAGACGAAGACAATCGCTATGTGTACTGCCTTGTTTCTTCAATTGATGAAAACACAAGTTACGTCGTCACACCAAGGGTTATCCGTTGACAGTTACACTGAACAGTTTAAAAATATAATTTAAAACTGTCTCCCTCCTCACCTGTTTTTTAGAAACTGGATGAACATCTAATTATGACTTTGTTGTTGCCTAAAATAGACATGAAAATAATATCATTTACTCGTCCCCTCAAGTGTACTTTATCATTCGTTTGGATTAGAAATAAAACATAGCAGGTAGGTATAAATTCAGAATATTTCTTACAATCAGATTACCCTGGTCGTGGGTTTTAACAAAACTGTAAATGTCATGATCAAGAACCTTAGCGCTACGACTGTCGTAAGCCTATGTTAAGGTATGGGAGTTACGATCACCTTAGCGCTGAGATCGCTTTGTACAACGGCACCCAGGTTGACACGCAGCTGTGCACTGAAACACTGTTTCATTCGTCACCACTCGCCCCTTTCCGTAACCTGCAAGAAGACTCATCCCCCTATCGATGAATGTTATGTGCGAAAATACAACAAAACCAATCAGAATGCGCGTAGGACTTCAAGTACCTCGGTCAAAGAATCCGTCAGGAATACTTTTTGATTGTACATATGTCTTGCATCTAAATTTACACCAAGATACAGTTAAATGTATTCAATCATACCCTATAATAATGTAAGCCCCGATGTGTTTTAAATAACATCTGGAATATATACAAGTCTTTTAGCTATCCGTTTGGGCTTAGACGGAACCCAATCGCAAAATTGGCCACGAGAGGGGCACATGTCGCTATTCGGCTTCTCTCAGAATAACACGAGTTGATCACGAATGACACTGTTTTAAAAGCGTAAACCAGAAAAGGATTAAATCTTTTTTAGGAGTTCCAATAATTAAAATGGCCCATAACAGCACCCCTGTGTCCAATACGTCAGCGCTAGTCACTTCCTCAAATATCTAGCAAGTGTATTTTATCTTCATACTATTATGATAAATATCTAGTACCCGCTGCCATAGGTTTGTGTTAGTAAAATGGCCCGTCCGGTGTGAGTGTCTTAGGGACCTTACAAATAAGAGATATGAGATGGTGACATCCCTTACTAAAGCTATGGCAGCGAATGGGCCCAGGGTACTAAAATAATTACAATGAAAAGAACATGGCCAGATTTGCTTGGGATCGGAAGAAATTTCAGGAAATAATTCGTTTTATTATAAGCCGTAATTCAAAATCTAACAGAGTTTAGTTATTTGCTATTGTCATAATGTTAATATCTCATCGTTCTTCCACATAAGCATAATATTATATTGTTTTCTTTTTCTTAAACCCGAGCAAAGTGTTTATTTCGCCTCATTGTTCGCTAACAATTTAAAGCAAAGTGAATGAGTATGGTTTTACACCGCATTTAGCAATATTCCAGCAATATCACGGTGGTGGACACCAGAAATGGTCTTCACACATTGTACCCATGTGGGGAATCAAACCCGGATCTTCGATGTGACGAGCTTTAACCAGTACGCTCCCCCACCGGCCCCTTAACAAATTAGGTCATTAGGTACCGACACGTAAATACTATCAAATCAATGGCTGTAGCGTACAACAATAATCAATGTGTTGTGTCCATACTGCTATCCCCCTAAGCGCTGCTTGTCAGAAAGTATGGTATAGAGACGTCGGTTGAGACAAATACGGTACCCATCAGAGATGAGATGAGGTGAAATTGGGTTTAACGTCGCGTCTAAGATTATTGCACTTACTTAGCGACGTGCATGCACGTGTGTGTGTGTGTGTGTGTGTGTGTGTGTGTGTGTGTGTGTGGCTGCCTGTACTAGTCCGGACTGATGCCGATTTAGCTAGCACACTGAGATACCATGTCGCAGTTTAACATGAATAACCCACTCAGACATAGTATAATGACTCCAAACCGACCAGTCCTTGTTTTAGCCCCTTAATGCCGAACCCCGGACCTTCCGCTCTCCGGGTGGACGCTCTACCTCTAGACCACGGAGGCGGTCAGTACCCATCAGACGATGATCTGGTTTGATGCATGTCCCGGCGTGGCAGCTGACATTACACTATGACTAATAAAACGAGTAGGAATTTAAAAAAACAGGTGTGGACAGCCCCGTGGTTGTTTGGATGACGCAGTGGTCCGCCGTCCATTGTGAATCACGCCTTCATTGATTGTTGCTGACTTCGGGTGATTATCGTGGTGACTGTCATCAACTGAGACGACAATGTAAGGGAAATTATTACAACAAGTGCAACCCCACATTTACACTGACACACTGGCCAGTACCGCTATGAACACTTACCTTATTAAATGTTATTTTCGATTGAGACATCGATCAAGTAGAGACGTGAAGAGTTAAAAACGTAATTATTTTTGGACCCTTTTAGAGGCGCTTCAAATACACTGTTTTGCACATGCACAACATGCCAATGTGATATCCTATCCCACCAATGTTTATATACCTCCGTTGTTCCACAGAACCCATGTGTTATTGAAGGGGCTCTATCTAGCTTGGCGCAGTCACAATTTACATTAAACGGATCGATTTGGTAAGTAAGTATAAACATGTTATATTTTTTAAACATTCCTGTGCTTTCTTTGTTGTTAGAGGCACGTGTGGGTCTGTATGGAGCCGATGGACACCTCACTAGACAAGTTCCAGAAAACAGTCTATAACAGAGGCGACAGGATTCCAGAAACCGCACTCGCAAAGATAGCCCAGCCCGTGAGTAGTCTGCCCATACCCAAAGACTGGAAGACCCGAATACATCACACGTCACAATTGAAGAACATCGGTGTTATTATTTCCAGTTAGGATCCCTATGTAGAATCTCCCGTGTAGCCACAGGGAGAGCGGTAATGTAAGCCTCGTTCTGATATAAAGCAGGAATTGTACAGAACACTCGCATCCTCCCGAGGCAAGGGAATTAACTGACTAGAACAGTCCAGTTTCCACCCTTGCCACCCGACAAGGCTGGAATTACGAAGCTAACGTGTCTACCCATAGTCCAATCAAAATCGCGTAACGATATAGCCATCCCGTTCGTAAACAACATGGCGACTGTCGTAAAGATTTCGGTAGATTGCGGGATTTGTAAAACACGTGTACCTTCAACTGGTCGTCGACAAATATTTTCCAAATGTTTTCATGCTTTTAATCACCTTACTCAAGTGGTTTATGCACCCCGCGAGGTAAGACGCGTTTTATTTACGCGGAGTCACAGACGAACTGTTTAGCATTCACAGACTGTTTAGTAGTCTCAGACTGAGTGTTTAGTCGTCACAGATTAACTGTTTAATCGTTGCAGACTAACTGTTTGGTTCTCACAGACTGACTGTTAAGTTGTCTCAAACTGACTGTTTAGTAGTCATAGATGAACTGTTTAGTTGTTGCAGACTGACTGTTTAGTAGTCACATACTAACTGTTAAGTGGCCACAGACTGACTTTTTAGTGGTCACAGATTAACTGTTTAGTCGTCGCAGACTGACTGTTTAGTAGTCACAGATTAACTGTTTAGTAGTCGCAAACTGACTTTTTAGTGGTCACAGATTAACTGTTTAGTCGTCGCAGACTGACTGTTTAGTAGTCACAGATTAACTGTTTAGTAGTCACAGATTAACTGTTTAGTAGTCGCAGACTGACTGTTTAGTAGTCACATACTGACTTTTTAGTGATCACAGATTAACTGTTTAGTAGTCACAGATTAACTGTTTAGTAGTCACATACTGACTGTTTAGTAGTCACAGATGAACTGTTTAGTAGTCACAGATTAACTGTTTAGTAGTCGCAGACTGACTTTTTAGTGGTCACAGATTAACTGTTTAGTCGTCGCAGACTGTTTAGTAGTCACATACTAACTGTTCAGTGGCCACAGACTGACTTTTTAGTGGTCACAGATTAACTGTTTAGTCGTCGCAGACTGACTGTTTAGTAGTCACATACTAACTGTTCAGTGGCCACAGACTGACTTTTTAGTGGTCACAGATTAACTGTTCAGTTGCCACAGACTGACTTTTTAGTGGCTGGAATTACGGAGCTAACGTGTCTACCCATAGTCCAATCAAAATCGCGTAACGATATAGCCATCCCGTTCGTAAACAACATGGCGACTGTCGTAAAGATTTCGGTAGATTGCGGGATTTGTAAAACACGTGTACCTTCAACTGGTCGTCGACAAATATTTTCCAAATGTTTTCATGCTTTTAATCACCTTACTCAAGTGGTTTGATGCACCCCGCGAGGTAAGACGCGTGTTATTTACGCGCAGTCACAGACGAACTGTTTAGCATTCACAGACTGTTTAGTAGTCTCAGACTGAGTGTTTAGTCGTCACAGATTAACTGTTTAATCGTTGCAGACTTACTGTTTGGTTCTCACAGACTGACTGTTAAGTTGTCTTAAACTGACTGTTTAGTAGTCATAGATGAACTGTTTAGTTGTTGCAGACTGACTGTTTAGTAGTCACATACTAACTGTTAAGTGGCCACAGACTGACTTTTTAGTGGTCACAGATTAACTGTTTAGTTGTTGCAGACTGACTGTTTAGTAGTCACATACTAACTGTTAAGTGGCCACAGACTGACTTTTTAGTGGTCACAGATTAACTGTTTAGTCGTCGCAGACTGACTGTTTAGTAGTCACAGATTAACTGTTTAGTAGTCACAGATTAACTGTTTAGTAGTCGCAGACTGACTTTTTAGTGGTCACAGATTAACTGTTTAGTCGTCGCAGACTGACTGTTTAGTAGTCACATACTAACTGTTCAGTGGCCACAGACTGACTTTTTAGTGGTCACAGATTAACTGTTTAGTCGTCGCAGACTGACTGTTTAGTAGTCACAGATTAACTGTTTAGTAATCACAGATTATTTTGAGTTTTTGATTTTGATTTAAAATTGACCTTTAATCCAGGTGATACAAGGCTTAGACTTCCTGTACCAGAAGGTGAAGGTCACACAGAGGGACTTGAAGCCCGCTGATATCTTACTGAACTCTAAGGGAGAGGTGAAGCTCGGAGATTTCGGGGTGCGGTACACGCAGCGAGGAGCCATGGCGCGACCACGTGACAACGGCAGGTGCCCCTACATGGCCGTGAGTCATACTTATAATAACAATGGTCATTTGTATTGCGCCGAATCCACACGCAGATACATGCTGACGGCTCACATTTCTTATCATAACAAGGGTCAGTTTGCTCGAACTTCATTCTCAGTTGCCTTATGAGGCGCTAGGTCATCTATCTTTTCCTACCGGGTACCCATTAACTGCTTGAGCCAAGGTCAGATATGTTGATGTAATACACATTATGTAAGTAAACGGAACACCCAGTATCAGACATTAACGTTATAACTGCTATTGCAGCATCCCATTAATCGTTCATCGATTATTGGGGGCGGTCGGGTAGCCAAGTGGTTAAAGCGTTCGCTCGTCACGCCGAAGACCCGGGTTCGATTCCCGACATGGGTACAATGTGTGAAGCCCATTTCTGGTATCCCCCGCCGTGATATTGCTGGAATATTGCTAAAAGCGGCGTAAAACCATACTCACTCACGCATCGATTATTGTGTGTAAACATTCATTTTTATTTTGTGTAAAAGGCGACTAACGGGATCGGGTGGTCAGACTCGCTGACTTGGTTGATGCATGTCATCGTATACCAATTGCGTGGATTGATGCTCATGATACCAATCACTTGATTGTCTGGTCCGGACTCGATTATTTACAGACCGACGTCACATAGATGGAATATTGCTGAGTGCGGCGTTAAACAACAAACAAACAAACAACAAACATTATAATGTATATACCATGTTTTGTTATTAACGACATGGTGTAACACAATGATCACTCTTCAACGGTGTGTCGATGCAGCCGGACAGAATTGACCCTCCAGAACCGGATCCAGGGGAGATAACTCCAAACACCATCCACACTGAGCGCTGTTCCAGACTGTCGGTCACAGACCCTCGAGCTGATGTTTGGAGCCTAGGGATCATTCTCGTGGGTGATATTTTGTTTTCGGGGGCCATTTATAGCCGCTAAGTGTCTGTATGAGTAGATTTGTTGATATTCATGACAAGGCTGCATCAGGGGCGATTAGCCGGCCTTGTGGTTATAAGGTTCTATCGTCACTCCTAACCGGCTTCGATTCCCCAGACGGGTACAACGTGTGGCTCATTCACTGGTATCCACTTCTATAATGTTGCGGGAATACTTCTAAAGAAGTACTAGCTCCCTCACTATCCTATTGGCCATTTTGTTCATAGGAATCCAAAACGTGAAAATACTTGGATTGTTGATGTCTGTGACGTTGACGTTTATACAGTTATTTGAAATACTCCAGATTTAACAAATGCCTTTGCAGGTTGAGATGGCGACGGGAGAATATCCCTACTCCGACTACGGGCCACAGTTCGAGCTGCTCGTCAAGATTGTAGAGCAGGACCCCCCGCGGCTTACATCCGGGGAGTTTTCGTCCGAGTTTGAAGACTTCGTTTCAGCTTGGTAAGTTACTAGTCGTTCCTTAACGGTAATGGACGTTTGGTGATGTTGTCATCTGTTCAAACCATTGTTTTTGACCGTTTCGGTATTTTCTGCCAAATCATTAGACACTTTTGGAGTTTGTTTCCTATGAATAATCGTTTTTCAATAGAAAAAATGACATTCCGAAAAATGATTTTTGAAGGAATATTTGAAAAAAATGGGTGAGATCAAGCGATATCGCTGAAATGAAATTGCATCACAATGCTTTGCAGACCATTTTACCATGACGTCACAATCAAATGGCATCACTGATGGCTTTGCTCCTGAAACTGTTACAGCACTTTTTACACTTAAGACACTGCTTATTAATGTCTACAATCTGAAAAAATTGGAAGTTTGATTTTGGATGTTAAATAAAATCTCACCCTCATATCTTATGATATCAAATATATCAACACTCGTTGGCATGAGGGTGAGATTCTCTATATCAAAACCACTTCTTATGTCTTTTAGTTTGAAGAAGAATTACCGTGAAAGGGCGACGTTTGAGCAACTCCTGTCTCACCCATTTATCGAAGGCGGATCTGGGGGCATAGACATGGCGGCCTACTTGAATTCCTACGGCGAACTGGCCAAATGTTGACTGCATAACACTGCTGTCCTTACAGTCTTACAACTGCAGTGGATTTCCTGTTGAACATAGGCACACGAAGCTTTCAGAAAGACGAGTCTAATTTTCGTACTGTTTCGATGGATACTGTGTTTGTACTGTCTGGATGGGAAGCAACTGTTCGAATGTCCAACACATGCAACGTCTCAGATATATATTTCGGTGCACGTTCCCCTTCGTGTACTTACCGTCTTCAGGAACTGAATGTACTGCTGGTTCTATGCTATTATTTATCCTAATGTGCAACTAATGCTGTCAAGCTACGTTTTGATCTTTTGTAATGTTTGTATTCGCTGGATTCGCAAACGGATGACTTGACCGCAAAAGTAGTACCGGAAGTGAATCGCCGGAAGTTTGTTATCCGGAAGTTAATTGCCGGATGTCTGTCTCCGGAAGTGCTTGTCCCGGAAGTTGAGAACCCACTCTGCCTCGGCGTATTAGTCACTGTTTCTTGCCAGAGCTTCTTTGTTAGGTGGTTTTGGTGTTTTAAAATACGTCTTTAAAAATATCTTGTATTGATGTACGTAAAACAGTGACCTATTGTGATATAGAGTGTATATTTACGTCAAGAAAATGCAATGTCTGTGATATGGCTTTGGCTGCTTAAACATTGCCATGTATTTTGGTCGACAACCATCCAGCATAGATGTAATGTAAATAAAATTATTAATTGTTATGTAAGTTAACAGACTAGTGAGGTAGGAAAATGGTCTATATACGATTGTCTATATTTGAAAGTTGATGTTTTGAAATCACGAACGTACTGCCATGAATTCCTGGAAGTGATGTTTTTACGGTGAATCCTGTAAATGAGAAAATGTGTGCTTATGGTTTCACATGCTCAGCCGCCATTGCTGACACGTGACTCGGCTGTGTTTTGTTTTATGTCAAATATACTTTTTCAGCTTGTGCTTTTTGTGATCAGAAAGTTCATGTGAATGTCTGAATTCCCTTCCATTGCTCAACATTACCATCCGTGATATTTGTTTCTAACAAGCCTAGAATGGAGATTTGTAAATTGCTGCAAACACGATGGTAAGAATAACTCCAGAAAATGAAAGAAAGACGAAAAGGACGTATGTTCTACCAAGCCTTCTCGCATTTTTTACAATTTTGCATACATGGATTCGAAGTTCTGATTAGAATGATAAAATCTTAAGAGATGTTTCTGTGTCAATTTCAGTGTCGTATTTCAACGACAGAATGGATGCTAGTGGGAATTGTACGGTCGTATGTACTCGGTATGAGCATACCCTTGAAACCATTACTTTAAGACCAGATGTATGTCTTTACAGAACGATGTTTTAGCGATAAACGTACATCGTGTCCTAAGTTCATACTGTGGTGACTTCGAATTCCATGTGAGGAGTTGAATACAATTTGGGTTATAGACGATGACAAAAGTTAAAATGAAGTTTAGACCAGTGAATTAAATCAAGGAAGCTAGCTTTCACAAAACCAAAACCTTTCGTTTCCAGTCATTCAGTAGTTCTTAAATTACAAAGGACTATTTTGTAATATTTATAATTTTTGTATAATTTTGTATAACATATTTGTATGGTATGGTACTTCCACATTCTACAACGAACTTGTTCTTGTCCATAATGCTGGGCAGTATGAGGGAACAGACTCTACAATCTTCCCATTGTTACTTTTTTCCAGTTATACACATTGATGTTAAACGCATTATTTGTTATTGTATGCATGTCATATAACGCGCCTGTGTCTGCATCTTCCCGGGGCAAGGGAGTTAACTGACTGGAATTTCTGTGTTATATTTGGCTGGCCTATCGAGTCTAGGAATAGTCCAATCAAAACCCGCGTAACGAAATCGCCATCCGGTTTGTAAACAACATGACGACTGACTTGCAGATTTCAGTCGATTGCAGGAATTGCAAAGCCTGTGTACCGTCAAGTGAGCATCGACAGACCCCACCCCCTAAATTCATGAAATTAAATCAATGTGCTCAATTTAGTTGATGCACTTTGCGCGAGGTAAAACCCGTTTTTATTACAACATGGACCTTGATTATCGATCAGATCATCTTGACTGGGTGCCGCCATTTATGTATGAAGCAAATGCAAGAGATATGAGAGGTGGATTCTGATTGGTCAATAGGAGGGACAAAGAAGGTACAAAAGTCGTAATAGCCACTGGTCGGGACTAGGGACGAAACTGGAGTTTTATAGTCAGTTAAATGCCTTGCCTTGGGAAGATGCTGTTTCTGATGCAACATGTTAATATATAACCTGACATCAAACTTGTGTTGATATACTTTGCATTATCAGGTGATGGATATCGAATGTAACAGGCGCATTTATTTTCTACAGGAGACATTAAACGCATTGAATGAGTGAAGGGTTGGAGTGGAATGAGAGGTACCAAAAAGTGATTGAAGATAAAATGTAGATTCGGAACTCGTTGAATAGGAAATAGGGTTTAACGTTGCGTTCAAAATATTTTCACTTCTATAGCGACGTGTGTTTCTACTAGTCGGAACTTGAAGACACCATGTCCGATGCCTCCACTCAGACCCAGTGCTTGGTTTATCTCCCCAATGCCGAGCGCGAGGCAGGGCAACAACAAGTACTATCTTTTAATGTATTTTGATATGACGCAGTCAGGGGATGGTTTTGCGCTCGAATTGTCCACGACCTGCAGTTACTGTGTGTATGGTCATCATAGTGTTATGCAGAGAAGATATTATAAGTCCGTGTTAATCCTGTAATGTTATAATTTGGGAAAAATACAATTATACCAAAAATGTCAATTCCTGCCATATTATTCCCTCTTCGGAGGAACCAGTGTCAATGGTCCAACGCACCATACCCCACTGTACAGAGTTGCGTACCTTAACCGTACCATGATTCGATGGCCGATTCGACCTGATTATGACCCTTTGTCTGTCCGTGCACCAAGCACGTGCACGTGGGCTGCACTGAACTTTGAGCCTTCTTCGAACAATGGCGACATGTCGTGATATGACCGATTACTATTTACAGCCGAGTTTTAAAAAAACACAACCCATCCAGTTATTTCTGGTAATATGGCCCCATAGTACCAAACCTGACAATCTACAATTTCCTTCCCTTCCCCGTGAAAGATATTAAGACCAGACATAATCCCTATGTATGACATAGGCCACCTGCTTTCCTATGCAGAAAGGAAACTTACATTAACGGGTCAAATGCCAGTCTATATTTCGTCCAAGCTCTTGGCTTCTGTATGGTCCTGTGAACCGATGTTGAACGCTTTTACAATGCTGGGTACCCTGCTTCTGTCCACAACTGCCAAAAGGCACGAACATGTCATATTTTCTTTTAAAAGCAATAAAAATATTTGTGCTGCTCTGTTTTTGTTGTGCCCGTTAATTCAAACTTCACGATATTAACAGTCATGCAAATATTGAATAAGGAGGAGACTGCTTTGAAATGCGAGCTGTTTGTATTGATCTATACAGTGGTTTGCTGTAATCGTTGAAAATATTTTTGGTGCTACTTTCGCGATAACGTAGAGTATGTTTTACACTCCGCCCTCGGGTTCACATGAATCAATTTAACCTCTTGGTGACCTGTGAACTTTGTTTACCTCATTAAACTGTCATCTGAGACAGATGATACTTGATGAGTTTTGACCTAATTCGTCATATATACTCTTAAAACAAGTAGGGGATCGTGCAATATGAATGTTAAAACCAAGTATTAGAACAAAGATAAGTGTTGACGACATTCATCCTATGCAAAAGCGTAAACTTTACGTCTGTAGAACGTAACACAAAAACACATCCTATAGTTTGCACGTACCTCACGCAGAGGGACATACGTGCGTAGGGTGTCATTCCTGAGTTTGACATTTTCAAGGAAGGTCGATTTATCTCTGTGGACCATTATTTCTGTCAATTTTATTGATTCTGCTTATCATACATTTGTGACTTAAAGGATTTCATTCATAGTTTGTTTTGTGGATGGGACCTGAGGACGGATAGTGTGGGGTGGCATCACTATGACTAAACGAGCTCTGCTCCTTATTCTTCAGAACTATCGGGGCAACATACTGACATCCTTTTTTGTCCCGTTTGCAATGCGTGTGGGTCGACGTTTTGTCTTTCAGGACGACAACGCCTGTGCTCACCGTACATGGATTGTCACTGCTCACCACATTCAGGAAAACATCCATAGAATGACAAGGCCAGGAATGAGCCCAGACCTTCCCCCACTAAACACATCTGAGACAGTGATAGGGAGACGTGTGTTTTAACGTTATAGGCTGCCGACCACGTTGGCTGAACTTGGCTAGGCGCTGCAAGAGGAGTGGAACAGACTCCCTCAAATCGCCTTTGGGAGACTCATACGGACTATGTCTCGTCGAGTGAAAGAATGTTTGACAAATCATGTCGTAATTACACACTGCTAATCCAGAAACGTAAATTTTGAAATTACTCATCTTAACCCTATCCTCCTTCGTTGGCGGTCACAACATCTACTGTCATACATCACTACCAGTTGTAATATATTCCCAATTCGTTCACTATTATCATACACAATTTCTAGAAACTAATGACTCTTACAATTTTGGAAATTTAGAGTTATTTTCGGGTTTCCCCTACTTTTTAAACAGTATATTATACAATATATCTCAATTCTACAGTTTGTTCATAAGTATCACACAACTATAATATCTCTTACAATTTAGGTGTATCCCCTACTTTTGTTGAAGAGTATAGATACAATGTATTATTACCCACCTTGGTGAAGATACAGGTGGTAAGATACTAAATCCGTACGTCACACATGTGTCGTACAAGGTTGACCTTGTTTTATTCGTTTTGATTGGATAACCGTGACCTCTGTCACACCGGGACTACATTTTTCATTCATAAAAATCGCGAGGCGTCATTCATTTTGCAACTAATATGCAGAACTGAAGCAATCTCAAAAGAGCGAGAGATATTTACAAACACCAAACAAGATAGTCACACACATGAAGTTCGTTTTGCATTCAATATAAGTTATACAGAGACCTTCTACAGACATTATATAATCGAGCTATATCCATTTACAATGTACGACTACAGATCAATAAATCGAGCGTCCCCATGAGCGTGACGCACCCGACCACTTTCGCAACTTTCAATTTGGTGAAATGAAGTCAGTTTAAACTATCTTGACAGATATCTAGACTTACTTTGGATGATCCTGTTGTGCCATCAGTGTCCCCTCCGAAGCGTATTTTGTGGCACTGTTTCGGGAGTTGTTTGTTCACGACTGCACGACCAGATCACTCAAAGTGAACATTTCCGATACAAATCATTCGAAAACTCCGTAGAAGTGTGCCTGACTTCTGATTATGAGGCCCAAAATATCCCAAATGTGAACAAAAACTTTCCCAATCTCCAGCGTAAAACGCTGTGAGTAGATCACGGTTGTCTTTTCTTTTTCCGGTGGTGACCTTGACCTTCGATCGTTCGAAGCTGTCTCTGACATGCAAGCAGATTGAGATTTTCTTATAGCTGTCCTGCGTACTAACAACATGGCGCTTAAATTACCATATGCTGAAGACATTGTTCCACAAGGATCTTGAGCGTCGGTGTTGTTCTGTTTGCAAACACAACTGCAGGCGCATGTTGTAACATTTTGCAACCGGTTTCAGTTTGGTCTGTCAACGAACGAAAGTTGCTATGTATTTATGCTTAAATATATATTTAACGTGGGTAATAAATAAAATACCACACTCATTTCACTCGGTCAGATACCATAGAAAGTCCACTCGTTTCGTAAAAATGGTATCTAACGAGAATGAGTGAAATATACACCATACAGACGTCAAATCGTCATTAAGATACAATGTGCTACCACCAAATCGTCATATAGATATAATGTAATACCACCAAATCGTCATATAGATTCAATGTGATACCACCAAATCGTCATATAGATATAATGTAATACACTCAAATCGTCATACACGCCCAATGTAATACCCGAAGTTGAGGCCAAGTTGCCAATGTTAACGAGGTCGACTTGTATAATGACTGTACCAGTGACTGGTATCCTGAGGTTGCACTCACCAGTACTAACTGACGTGATCAGGTCAAATGTACGACAAATTATTTAGTGTCTGTGTCTGGAAATAGAAATGAAACCAAATTTAGTGAACACATTTCCTAAGGCGGGCTCTTAATAATCAAGAGTGCTCAAAATGTTGTTTTTTATGCATCATTTTACAACTACAATTTGGCATTGTGAAAATATACATTCATATAAGCGTCGTTTCCAGTTAAATTACTTGCTATTTACCTGTTGCAATATTAACGTTTCCCAAGAATTCAGAACAGTAACGCGCGACAGCCCATGGTGGAGAGTGTGGCACTCCTCCTACACTTTCCTGTCCAAAGGTACGCAAGTGCGAGATTGGACAACATCACAAATCTAATGCTGGTGTGATCTCTGCATCACACAACGAATATATGTTTTCGCTCCACTTTGTCATAAAGATCGCGTGCTGTACAAAGGTATCGTGTCCTGATACTCCTAGACGACTGGGCCACCCGTGCCCCCTGAGACTAATGGCCTACCATTATGATAATACATTGGTTTCGCTTATCTATCACTCAATAAACTGTGTTTAGTTTCCATTTTCAACTGGAATGACATGATTTATATTTACTCTTCCCCATTTTGGAAAACTAAGTTTCCTAAATCAATGTTGGGCTTCTGGCAATTTCTGAGGACCTTTTTAACTAGTAATGAGCTGTTCTCTTGAGATGTCCTTTGAAAAGTACGTATGTACTCCGTGAATCGTGCACTCGTCCATAACACTCGCCGACTGGTTCAGTCAATACAACGAAGAATAATCCAAGCAAGATGTACGTCAAACACTGGATCTGGTTACAAACGACATATGTGTTAAGGAGTAAAGGATTTTGATCAACTGGAAACAAAGTACTGAAATATTTTGGAATATGTTTTGTTATCCCAAAGAAGTCTTTGTAATGAGTTCTTAATGTCAAGATTTCTTTAGATGATGTTTCACTGAAGTAACTATGCCTCTTACACCTATGACATCAAGTATGACGCAGTTAGTTTATACACACACTTATCTAAATTCTGATGTAAGTGCCCACATTTTACTGCCCCTTTTCATTCTTACTATCAGGCTTGGTGCAACTCACTCTCATGCGGGGGGCGGTCGGGTAGCCTAGTGGTTAAAGCGTTAGCTCGTCACGCCGAAGACCCGGGTTCGATTCCCGACATGGGTACAATGTGTGAAGCCCATTTCTGGTGTCCCCCGCCGTGATATTGCTGGAATATTGCTAAAAGCGGCGTAAAACCTCACTCACACACACACACACACACTCTCATGTGGCCACAACGCAAATCAATAACATTACAAAGACCACACGATAAACGAACTTTTCAAAGTGCATAACACAATTATTTATCATGTACGCAACGTTCTTCGACTGGACGAGTAACACAGCAACCAACTGTTCCAGTGTCGTCTCAGATGTGCCCATGTGTGTTTCTTTTAGACAAAAGATTATCTTCATGTATCTCTTGCGTGAAATAGATGTTATTCAAAAACGTTTCTTACCAGACAAGCCTTTAGTAAGAACTAATCATGACAATCGTTTTCCCCAAGCAAATGAATCCCCAGGGAGATTTGTCTGAACGTATAATGAGTACTTGTCGTCTGTGACGACTAGACCATGGGTGGTTTGTTTGGCGTAAAAAGCTGTAAATTATTGAAGCAACATCGTAGACAGCTGCCCTAAGGTCTTCAGATTGCCTTCAACCAATCCCCTCGTGTGCATGACATGTTGAATAATGTTGAATGTGGTTATTGGTACTGAGGAGAGAGACTGTGTGCTAGTCTATCAGATCAAGCTCAAGTGGAAACACACACTTGGTGAATCATGGAATATTTTGTAGTGTTCCTGTTGCTTGCATTGGTAAGATCACTATATTTATTTCACCCAAAACATTCAAATGTTTCCACGATACATGCAAATCATTATTTTTTAAATTTAGCTCAATGATAGAAAACAGAAGGAATTATTATTCTCCTTTAAATATGTTGTTTTATTATTAGTGGCAACATTAACTACTCCACAGAATATGCAACCACTCGATATATTTTTCAGGATCGTATTGTGTTGCTGACGACGCCCTTGATTAGAGTAGAGAAGGAGCACTCCTCAACGGGACCCGTGAAGATCCGCGTTAGAATAGGTCTTCAACAACCAATGCCTGACGTAAAAAGCGACTTTGCTTGTCGTAAGAGGCGACTAACGGGATCGGGCGGTCAGGCTCGCTGACTTGGTTGATGCATGTCATCGTATCCCAATTGCGTAGATCGATGCTCATGATATCACTCACGATATTGTCTGGTAAAGACTCGACTATTTACAGACCGTCATATAGCTATTTACGGCGTTCAACAAGAAAAAAACCCAAAACAGACCGCGATCATATAGCTGGAATATTGTTGAGTACGGCGTTCAACAAACAAAACAAAACAAAACTGGAAGGTTGTTGCTCCTCCATAACGCTGACATTCCGTGATTTACCATTGCTGTGGTGTTAAAACTCAGCTCACTCAATACCCTAACATAACCATATGTTTCTCTCTGTCACTTAGATGTCAATCATTCCCATGTCTGCCTTTTGGCGGAGCAGAAGAATATGTCGATGGGGAGCAAGGTGTAACCCAGGGTCTGGAGGCGGAGACAATCCTGGCCTTGAGTCAAGCAGTACCACTTTCGTTGAGAGTGTAACGGAAAGACAATCAGACTCAAAATCTTCAAGTAAGGCTTAATATGTAAAATGTGTGTGTGTGTGGGGTGGGTGGGGTGGGGGGGGGGGGGGGGGGGGGGTGGGGGGTGGTTTCACGGTGGTCCAGTCGTGTTAGGCGCCGCAATTCGATGTGCAGAGTTGCGTCCCTTGGGCACGCCAAAAACCTATGATTGTGGTTTCGAATCCCGGTTCGCCCCGATTACGTTTCTTGGTTTGTCAGCACCATACCCATGCTTGTGGGTTTCACCGAAGTGGTAAACGTCTGAGACCTGCATCACTTCAATTCTTCCCACATAAAGCTGACACGCCGTGATATAACTTGAATACTCTTAAAAGCGGCGTTAACAACAACTCACTCACTCGTGTAAAATATTTCGTCACAAGTAGGAAAATGTGTGTTTCTCACTCAATACACTGATGTCATGTAAATATATCACCACAATAAGGCAAATATTCACTTAATATACTGATGTTATGTACAAATATCACCACAATAAGGCAAATATTCACTCAATACACTGATGTTATGTAAAGATATCACCACATTCAGGCAAATATTCACTCAATACACTGATGTTATGTATAAATATCACCACAATAAGGCAAATATTCACTCAATATACTGATGTTATGTAAAGATATCACCACAATAAGGCAAATATTCACTCAATACACCAATATCGACGAGCAAGGGCTGTATCGACCGCCTTCTCAGATGTGTGCATTATAACCTCATTGATGCATCTACCCCTTGTCCGTCTCGTGTACTGATCGACTATTTAATACATGTCATACATACAGGAATTAATCTGAATGATCTACATTTTAAATACATTCATTTCTATCAGAATTCAAGGAAGAGTCCATTCACGTTGCCCCGATAAGGAGCGCTAGTCAATCCCTGTTGCCGGAATCGTCGTTTGTAACCTCACATCAGGATACATCAGCAGCGGATTCAGGATCTGGAGCTAGCGACAGTCCTGGTCTTGGGCCAAGTTCCCCTTTCCTTGGGAGTGTAACGGAAAGGAATTCACACTTAAAGTCTTCTTCAGGTGAGGCTTAAATACATTAATCAAATGAAACTATGTTTCCATCTCAATACACCGATAGTATGTGTAGGGGAAAACACGCCCGAGGATGAGGGTTTCACGTCTCATAAAAACCCGAGGGACGGTGTTTTGTCCAACACTTACAAACCGAAAGGGTTAGGGTAAAGGTTAGGGTTTTACATCTCATAAAACCACAAGGGACGGTGTTTTGTCCAACTTACAAACCGAAAGGGTTAGGGTTAGGGCAAGGGTTTTACATCTCATAAAACCCCGAGGGACAGTGTTTTGTACAAATATCACCACAATCAGGCAAATATTCACTCAATACACTGATGTTATGTAAAGATATCACTACAATCAGGCAAATATTCACTCAATACACTGGTGTTATCTACATTTTAAATACATTAACTTCTATCAGAATTCAAGGAATAGGGTTACATCTCATAAAACCCCGAGGGGCAGTGTTTTGTCCAACTTACAGACCAGAAGGGTTAGGGTTAGGGTTAGGGTTTTACATCTCATAAAACCCCGAGGGACGGTGTTTTGTCCAACTTACAAACCGAAAGAAAACGATTGTAGTGGATATTATAACATCCCCGTTTATGATACGTCCCCCGATAGGAGAACAATAGGATGACGAAACTGGGGGTTTATGGGAACAAGTAACGACCATACGTACAGCCTGCCTACATGTGTGTACTCACAAGTGATGGACATATTAGACATATGTTTAATAACATTAATGTAGAAATTATGTTGGATGCACTATACACATTATCAGCAGATGAATTTTTTTCAGAATTCATAGAAAATTCTGTTCATGGGGTCCCTAAAAAGAGCAAGTTGCCAGAATCGTCGACTACTCACCGCGAAACATCAATCTACAAGAAACAGTCAACAACTCCGATCTCAGAAGCTCCATTTGAGACATTGTCTCAATCTGATGTCCTAGTAGATCCTGAAAAAACATTTCAAACTGATACATTGGAATATATCGATCACTCACTGTCACCAAGCCCCGAGTATATACTTATGGATAAAACGTATGTGCATGCTCAAGCATATAGATCAAGCTTATTTCCTCTGATCCAGACATCTCATGACATGTCAGTAGGGGATGCTGACACCATGACACCCGGGTCCATGTCATCCTCTCAGTTCAGCATGACAGTATCCGCTACAAAACCCGACAATACGTGTATCCCCATCACCTCACCCCAATACCACACGGCTGTGTCATCTTCAAATCCTCAGATGGCTGCATCTTCAATACAACAAAACAATCTATCGGCTGTGGACACAACAACGCCAAGAAACCCATTCCCAGTGAGAGTGGTAAAGGAGGTTTGCAAATGTTTCTGTAGGAATCTGAAGCGTCTTCATGCGATCACTCCAGAAGCAGTTGGTGCCATCAAGAAGCACATCCGGAGAGAACTACAGGTGGACAAGACCAATCTCTCCAGCCTGATTCAGAAGAAGGTCAGCAGGCCTGATGCCCGACCCTCTGCTTCAGCAGCTGGCTACCTGGGCCTGGTGCTCCTGTGTCTCCCTTTCCTCCTCATCGTCTTCGCCGACGCAATGACGGTGACCACAGCGTTGTTCTCTACCACCAGAACTGTACCTCCGTAGTGACGTCCCGAGCCCCAGCCCGGGGTTGGTACTTTAGCCGGTGTTCTTCTTACTTTCAGACATTCACTTTTTGCCCCTCTACGTAATTAAAACCATGTTTAGATATGAAATTGTCAACCTCTTCAGTTGTGTTATGATGCCTAACGTTCTGTGTACGCTGTCTCCCAATCATCTGATGCTGTTCTGGTTATCGTGCTTTCTTTCTCAGCAAACAAAATTCTTCGTCGCGCTTGGAAACGTGAATTTGGTGAATTTATGTGAAAAAGTAGAATTGCAATCTATAGACATCTATTTTGTCTTTGATTCCTTACATAAATGTCCTTTTCAAATTATAATCCATCATACGTTACCACAATTGCATTATCATTTATCTACATGAAGTAAGTTTTTTAATGTTGCAATACGTAAATACAAACACATTTATGCTATACTTAACTTTAACATGTAGTGGTGGGTTAGGTGGGGTACAATGATGCACAATCAAATTAGCCTGAACATCCAATCTGTTATGTTTGTTTGTTGTTTAACGCCGCACTCAGCAATATTCCAGCTATATGACGGCGGTCTGTAAATAATTGAGTCTGTACCAGACAATCCAGTGATTGATATCATGAGCATCGATCCACGCAATTTGGATACGATGACATGCATCAACCAAGTCAGCGATTCTGACCACCTGATCACCTTAATCGCTTCTTACGACAAGCATGGGTTGCTGAAACCTATTCTACCCCGGATCTTCGTGGATTCAATCTGTTATGGGGGCACGGGTAGCCCAGTCGTCTAAGGCGCCGCTATTCGCTGTGCAGAGTTGCGTCCCTTGGGCACGCCAGAAACCTATGATCGTGGGTTTCACCGAAGTGGTAAACGTCTGAGACCTGCATCACTTCGGGCTTTCCTCCCACATTAAGCTGTCACGCCTTGATATAACTGGAATACTGTTAAAAGCGGCGTTAAACCCAACTCACTCACTCAATCTATTATGTCGCCTCATATGACAATCATAAATATGGGCTGCTTTCAATTACTTCTATCAAGGCATGTTTGGAGTGACTGAATGAGTAAAGTTTGAATCGGCAATATTGCATCTATTCGGGGCCAAACAAGTATTCACATACATGCACAACAAGATTTTTTCAAGTTTCGTTTCGTAATACTCATTGGGATTCTGTTACATAAACGTAACTCCGGTCGCTATTGTGAAGTGACACACATACTCCGTCTCCACTTGAAGTCGCTGAAAGATTTATAAGTGAAAACGCAATATCAGCTGTGACAACATTAAACCAACTAAAATAAGATCCATTTGAAACCATCAACTAAATTAAATAGTGCTCCAAGCTCTGAAGGGACAGTATCTATACATATGCTCTGCGTGTCTTTCTAAGCTGTTGCTGGTAGGTTTCCATGGACCGATGGCCCAGAGGGTATACATATCTCCTTGCGTCGTCAGTTTGTCCTGGTGGGACTGACACAACAGCCAGGCAAATAATAATCGCATTATTGTCAAATAAAAATGTTCTGTCTCCGCCCAGGGACCAAAAGTAAACACATCTGGCACGTTAAACACAGGAGGTTTACCTGCATGTATCTCATTACTCCCTCTAGATCTAGTTCCTGGCTTGTTTGTCACCATTACTGTTTGCAATATATTTAAATGATGTTGAAACCTTTTTGAGAGTCCACAATTTTAAAGGTGTGTCCCTTGAAACCTCTGTTTTGCAACTTCTGTTATTATTGAACGCAGACGGTACTGTAATATTTTCGGGAAACCCTACTGACTTACAAAATAGTCTAAATGACTTCGTAAAATACTGCGAAGAATGGAAACTGAAAGTTAATCTAAAGAAAACAAAGATAGTAATTTTACAATAACTAGAATTATGCCATAGGCCCGGGCGCACGTCGTCTGTCTCGCATTGCTATGACTGTTGCACATGTAGTTGTATCTATCCATCTATTTTATTTACCAATATCTATCCAATCATTTAATTAATGCGGGATACATGTCGCGCCCCCGTGCCTCTTACACGTTTTACTCCGTGTATTTCAAATGTATTTTTTTTAACATTTGTGTTTTTAGCACACTATGTGCTATTATTTGTACTCGTGAGATATTTGGTGTCCCATAGGCCGTATCGGCCGGATGATCTACACTAATTGTTTTTAACTGTTTGTCCTTATGTATGTTTATCATGCGACACCTTAATAAAATATTTTCTTCTTCTTCTTCTTCTTCTTGTATGTCCAATCTGGCCAGTGTTGCTGTATGTAATCCATTGGCATTATTTTTTGTTCTTGCTTGTTTGATGTTATTTTTGCGATGTTTGTTAGACCAGTGTCTGTATGAGGAGGTGGCAGGTGATATTAGTCATGAATGGCAGGGGTGAGTTTTATGTTTTTAAGTTTGTATGTGAAGGTGGTTCAGCTGAATGGTAAATGGGAGTCGTCGTCTTTTTTGTTATTAGTTTGACTTTCTGTCTTAGTGGTAGATTTTCTGTTGCTGTCATGTGGCTGTTAAACAATGGGTTTGTGCATGCTGTAGCCTTGTAGTTTAGAGTAATTTGTTTACGTTTAAGGGGGAGAGCTGTTTCCCCAGTGAGCTTTAAGAGAGATGTCAGTGCGGTGCCCGATACTGTACCTAATGAGATTGAAAGTGCCTTGTATTGTATTGAGTCTGATTTCTTGGAGTCTGTTTGTGTGAGTGCGTCGTATGCGGGTGCGGCGTACTCTAACTTGGGTCGGATGAGTGTTTTGTAGACAGTAAGTAGCGTGTGTTGGTCTGCTCCTCAGCTTGTTCCCCGTATGCTGCGCATTAAGTTGAGATCATGGTTGCATATTGTGATGAGGTGTTTGATATGGGATGTGTATGTTAAGTGTTGGTCAAGTATTAGGCCTAGAAATTTTGTTTGTGTGCTGTAGTTGATTTTGGACTTATTTAGAGTCAAAGGTGGGGAGTAGTTTTGCATGTTAGGTGTTTTGAAGAGTATGGCTACTGTTTTGTCAGTATTGATTTTAAAACCCCATGTATTTGCCCATGTGTCAATATGATTGAGTGCTTGTTGGATGTGTTCCTGCGCTGAACCTGGTGTTTTGTGTGAAGTCCAAAGTGATGCGTTCTAGACCGTGAAGCTTATATCTTTATATGCTGTAAATCTTGAAATTAACGCGATCGTGAATTGAATTCGGAAAATGCGAGTGGTCTTTGCTTGCATTAATTAACTTCGGATTTATGTCTCCAAAATGACTATCAACCATAAGACGGCTTCACTGAACACTTTGGATAGCGGAAATACCACTTGGGATATAAACACAAACACGTTTATTGAGCAGCAGTTGTAACAAGTATATAACACTGCATTCAAAGAATAGGAATTACACAATGAGCAATCGGTGAGTTATCACTGCTGGGGTCAAGAGTTTCTACCCACATGTGTCAAACTAGGCATCATAATATTGATTACTCCAGCAATCCAGACAGCCGCCACCCACGCAACACTTCCTCAAAGGCCGACACGAACCAAAGCGCACAGATAGGCTTCACCACACTCCTCAGATCTACAGCCTTTGTCTTGTCATCTGCCTTCAAGTTTGTTGAAAACATTCTCCGCACATCAATCAGTGAATTGTTATTGGTTCAATTATTTTATTGCCTTTGAACTTCCTTAATGCCAGTCAACGGAATACACAAATAAACAGCGTGTTGTTTTTAGGAAAACTCTTTTAATTGTTTTTATGGAAGTGCTCTATTCAGCGGAAATAAGCGGCGATATTTTCTGTTTGATTGGATTATGGTAATCATATACAATAATAGTAATAGTAATAATACATAGCGTACTGTCACTGAACTAGTCATAACATTCCTTGTACCTAACTATACAAATATACACAGATATGCTAATATCAAAAGTCATAGTATCAATCGAAACTTACACAGGTGATGTGTGTCTTGGAGTGAATGTACCACTAAATAACTAATTATTTCTTATAGATGGACATTGATGTTCACAATACAATCTAGCATAATTGTGTATATGTTGAAGTATCTTTGTGTTATCAAGAAAGTTTAATATTTGAAAGAATTAGTATTCACACATTTCCGTCAGATTCAATTTAAATGAGATTATTTTTGAATAAATCGTTCTGTATGAATTGCCTGTACACCAGCACTTCACCTGAGTTTTTTTGTAATTTGAATGTACAGTAAAGTACGGTTATACGAACTCAAGGGGACTACTAATTTTAGTTCGTTATAACCGGAGTTCGTTATAAGTATATATACAGCATAACTACAGCAAATAGTCGGGACCAAAAAAGTAAGTTCGTTATATCCGTCAGTCCGTTATGAGCGTGTTCGTTATAACCGTAGTTTACTGTAGTTGAATTTTGAGAAATATAGTAAATCAAGGAAATGATTGGTGAGAGTTCGTGACAGAATGTCCATCGATGATGTAGTAGTATATGGCTACAGCACCATGGACTCTGAAAGGTCGTCAATCAAACTTACAGCTACAACGAATGTGATCTCCGGTCACCCTATGCATATTCGAACGAGTCATATTAATTCCTTGGGGTAGAGGCATGAGTGATTTTGGTTTTATCTTTGAAGTAGAGATGTGTCTGTATAATGATTATTAATTGGGAGGTATTAATATGTACGAACAGGCATGTCGCAGACACGCACATTACAAGTTATGTGTAATATTGTAATATGTGCTCCATATAATGATATTAAATAAAGCTTACTAAGCGCTTTCAAACCAGAGAGCGGTAGGTCGCTGATTCGATCATCTGGCTGCGTCATACCAAAAGACGTCAAAAGATGGTACTTTTTGTTTGGCAATAAGGCTGCGTTCACACAGTGCCGATTATGGCTGCCGTTGTAGACGTTGTACGACACGAAAAGTGAAAAAGTCGGATTACTATCCTCAATTATCTGGAATGTCCTATCATTTTCTGAACGCAGTCGTATACGTTCGTAAGAGAGTTCTACGGATCGGAAAAGGCCCAGAGAGGTCGGCCAAGCATTCCCGACAGTATGGTGCGTCCCGTAACATTCGGGAATCTCAGCCGATCTTGTCTTGTCGGATTACAATCGTGACTATGTCGTGACAGATTCTGCTGTATCGGATCAAAATCGTAACAATGTCCTGTGTTGTCTGGACGGTGTCCCGTGGATCGGGTTGATTAAGGCTTAAGAACCATTCGATAATGCCAATAATATTGCCGCAGGATCTTCAGAACGGTTCCACTAGTTTAGTGTCAATAACATGTTATATTCAATAAACAACACAGCCAGAAGGATGGCTGTGTGTCTGAGTTATTATACAGGTTGATATTGAGAACGTACACTCCAAAGGGAGTCGAGGACTGGTTCTCTATAATAATTTCATTCCGTGAATATTTGTGGTTTTACTTTCATGCCTCTATCTCACTCAATCACTGCAGCAAATCACCTTACAGCATCCAATCACCACGCCCACAAAGACAATCAGCCACACAGGGACGAGATAGCCCCAGACAAGGCGGTACACTGTGCTGTCCGTGCATTCGGCCTGAATCACCCACACCAAGCCTGTAAGAAAGGGAACAGTGAAAATGTTAGACGTAATAGTCAAGCTGCTATTACTGATAAAGGGTAAGACCCAACCCCATGGAAGGACATACAGAGTAAACAGTGGCTTAAAGACGGACACCGAATTTACAAATCAAAGCAACCAGTCTCCATATACGGTGCAAAGGATCAAACCATACCAAGACACCGTCCAACATCTAATCATGTAAAGGATCAAACTAACATCAAACCATATTGAGACACCATTCAACATCTAATCATGTAAAGGATCAAACTACCATCAAACCAAAACCAAGACACCCTCCAATATCTAATCATGTAAAGGATCAAACTATCATCAAACCATACCAAGAAAGACACCGTTCAACATCTAATCATGTAAAGGATCAAACTACCATCAAACCATGCTTAGACACCGTCCAACATCTAATCATGTAAAGGATCAAACTACCATCAAACCATACTAATTAAGACACCGTCCAATTTCTAATCATGTAAAGGATCAAACTACTATCAAACCATTCTTAGACACCGTCCAATATCTAATCATGTAAAGGATCAAACTACTATCAAACCATAACAAGACACCTCCCAACATCTAATCATGTAAAGGATCAAACTACCAGCAAATCATGCTTAGACACCGTCCAATATCTAATCATGTAAAGGATCAAACTACCATCAAACCATACCAAGACACCGTCCAATATCTAATCATGTAAAGGATCAAATTACCATCAAACCATACCAAGACCATGTCCAATATCTAATCATGTGAAGGATCAAACTACTATCAAACCATGCTTAGACACCGTCCAATATCTAATGATGTAAAGGATCAAACTTCCATCAAACCATACCAAGACACCGTCCAATATCTAATCATGTAAAGGATCAAACTACCATCAAACCATGCTTAGACACCGTCCAATATCTAATCATGTAAAGGATCAAACTACCATCAAACCATACAAAGACACCGTCCAATATCTAATCATGTAAAGGATTAAACTACCAGGAAACCATGCCAAGACACCGTCCAATATCTAATCATGTAAAGGATCAAACTACCAGCAAATCATGCTTAGACGCCGTCCAATATCTAATCATGTAAAGGATCAAACTACCATCAAACCATACCAAGACACCGTCCAATATCTAATCATGTAAAGGATCAAATTACCATCAAACCATACCAAGACACCGTCCAATATCTAATCATGTAAAGGATCAAACTACTATCAAACCATGCTTAGACACCGTCCAACATCTAATCATGTAAAGGATCAAACTAACATCAAACCATATTGAGACACCATTCAACATCTAATCATTTAAAGGATCAAACTACCATCAAACCATACCAAGACACCCTCCAATATCTAATCATGTAACGGATCAAACTATCATCAAACCATACCAAGAAAGACACCGTCCAATATCTAATCACGTAAAGGATCAAACTACCATCAAACCATACCAAGACACCGTCCAATATCTAATCATGTAAAGGATCAAACTACCATCAAACCATGCTTAGACACCGTCCAACATCTAATCATGTAAAGGATCAAACCACCATCAAACCATGCTTAGACACCGTCCAATATCTAATCATGTTAAGGATCAAACTACCATCAAACCATACCAAGACACCTTCCAACATCTAATAATGTAAAGGATCAAACTACCATCAAACCATACTAATTAAGACACCGTCCAACATCTAATCATGTAAAGGATCAAACTAACATCAAACCATATTGAGACACCGTCCAACATCTAATCATGTAAACGATCAAACTACCATCAAACCATACCAAGACACCTTCGAACATCTAATCATGTAAAGGATCAAACTACCATCAAACCATATCAAGACACCGTCCAACATATAATCATGTAAAGGATCAAACTACCATCAAACCATGCTTAGACACCGTCCAATATCTAATCATGTAAAGGATCAAACTACCATCAAACCATACCAAGACACCTTCCAACACCGACCTTCCGCTCTCCGGACAGGCACTATCCACTGGACCACGGCGGCACGAGTGAGTGAGTGAGTTGGGTTTAACGCCGCTTTTAACATTATTCCAGTTATATCACGGCGTGTCAGCTTAATGTGGGAGGAAAGCCCGAAGTGATGCAGGTCTCAGACGTTAACCACTTCGGTGAAACCCACGAGCACAGGTATGGTGCTGACAAACCTAGAAACATAATCGGGGCGAACCGGGATTCGAACCAACAATCATAGGTTTCTGGCGTGTCAAAGGGACGCAACTCTGCACAGCGAATCGCGGCGCCTTAGACGACTGGGCCACCCGTGCCCCCCACGGCGGCACGAGGCCACGAGTAGTATAGGTAATGGGGGTTCTGGACCACTTCCACTGGAGCCAGATTTATATACCTATACTGCTACTACAGATGGCATTTTTTATGCCAAAATGATCATGCGATTCAACGATAGTCATAAGATTAAGTTAAATTGGTCCCAGCTCACCAATACCTGGGGACAATCATTGCTTTAGATGAGCCTAAATGGTAATAAAAATATTCTTTATTATTTTTATCAATAAAGCGATATTCAACATTTTTATTAAGTTCTTCGTTCATTTTACTAGGAGACCAGACTATATAATTACACTCTTCTTGTAAATTGATAAGAAACAATTGATAACCGTATTTGGTTGGTTTCACATCACTGATATAATAAAAACCTTGTGGTAATTCTCTCCATTTAATAGCTTTTTTGATTGTTGTGTTGTAATTCTCCATTATTATATATATTTATGTAAGCATTTGTCTAAATGTGATCTAACGATAGTAAGCAATCTATTTTTAGTCTCCAACCAGTTCTTTGGTTTTGGCACGGAATAATTGACGCGCTTGTTGCCTCCCCTGTTCTATGAACTTTTTTTTCTCGTCTTCGCTAATACTGGTCTGATGAGATTTTGATCGAATCTCATGCTTCATTGCGTTGTATTTGGTGAGTTCCGACAGCACTAAACGAAACTCATCCTCGGATATCTTACAATCGGCCATTGCTGTCGAAATATGATCCTCAATGCTGTTCCCATTTGCTTCGGCGAGTATCCGAAATACTATCGTGTTTTAAAGCTTTCTTTTGCAACCTACGAGAAATGAATTTTATTGTTATTCCTGCCAGTCCCGAGACTCCAGCCGCTATTTCCATTCCGAGCACGATAGGCGCGGCGATTATAGTTGATAATAAACCGATACCCGCTACACCGAGTCCCATGCCAGCTGCTACAAGCGCGGTGTCGACTCCGTCCAGAGCATTAACGGCTCTGCGATATTTTTTATACAATCCAAGTCTCAACTCCCTATCCTTCTCTATTCGATGTTTTATGTCGCTTATTTGATGTAATCGAAATCCATCAACAGTATCCAGCTTTTCAAATGCTTCATCGAGCGCTGGATATAAACCCATAGTGTATATTACGATCATATAATAGTCTTTAATTGGTCTTGCTTAAATGTTTTGAGAGTAACATCAACCTTATCAAATGTATATTATACGGCAAGAATATCTTAGTAAGAGAAATACTACCACTTTTAATAATTTGGACCCCCTCGAGGGTTGCAACGGGCGATGCTCCGATATGAATAATACTGCAACGTTGACGCTCGTGTTTCTTGAGCCATTTAATCGATAGACCTGGTAATATTCGAAGGCATCTACCGGTACATCTCCGAACAAGACTTCAATAATAAGAGTAGAAAGATTAGGTATTGCACTCAAGTTAACTTTAATTTCATTGAATTCAGTAACCAAATTTAAACTAACGTTTTGGATTGCCGGACGACTATATAACATATGACCTGGGTTTTCTGGCAGGGGAGAGACTAACACACTTTTTCGTTTTGATGGGATATAAGCCGCGACTACGATGCCACTATTTATAATCTTAGTTAAATTATGTGCCTTACCCGTCATCGCATACGGTGGGGTAATGACGATATTCAATAGCCACTCGATGTTTGCTTCGACCATAGTCCATTTATTATCATCGTTGTGAGTAAGATTGTACGAAGTGTTTTTCTTAAGGAGTCTACTAACAACGTCGACATCGCTTAAATCTTCTAGATTACCCGTGAATGTAACTTATTTCCGCTTGTATACATTATCGTGTAAGTGTAAAGCGTATAACTTTTCATCGGTACCGGGTTTACCGAATCCTTCTGTGTCTCCGAGATCGGAAAGCGCAATTGTATTACATTGTCTGAGCGTTCCAGGGCCTGATGCATCAACCATTATTTATAATATGGAGTGTTACACTTAAGTATCCTATATGTACAGGTTGGTGTTTTACATCTAATACAGAAATTTTGAGGTCTGAAATAATACCCCGCTTCAATTTTTTATATTGTAATGATGATAAAGATTCCGTTCTACCGCTATTATATTTTTCATTCCTTGGGATATCAGGTACCGTTAATACAACAGAGACCACGAAGGAACCTTCTAACAGTCACCTGTGTCAATTAATGATAAGCAAATATCTGCCAACAAAGGTGTGATGGAACCTACCGACAATAACCCATATGAGGATAAATACGCCGACGGGGGCAATGAGCTTCAGCATGGTCGGTCCTTCAACACAGTGACAGCAAATCCAGATGGCAACTGCGATGGGGATGCTCATTGAGACAAGCCCCTGTACGACCAAGTAGGCCCCCAGTTTGGTGTCACCAGGACAGGTGTCGATGTGCATGGCCCCTGAGAAAAGAAAGTTCATTTAAATATGCATATGCACGGGATAAGAAGCATCATCATCAGTTCATTATTTCTTGTAGTTGTACACACGCTGTTGGAGTGACTATAAAACATCACCTGAAGAGTTATATAATGTTGCTATGTATGCACACCCAGACATCACTATCTTCATCATGCATTGTACATACGTGTTTTGTTTTGTTTGTTTGTTGTTTAACGCGGCACTCAGCAATATTCCAGTAATAGGACAGCGGTCTATTAATAATCAAGTGTGGACCAGACAATCCAGTGATTGACATCATGAGCATCGATCCACGAAGTTAGGATACGATGACATGCATCAACCAAGTCAGCGAGCCTGACCACCCGATCCCGTTAGTCGCCTCTTACGACAAGCATAGTCGCCTTTTACGGCAGGCATGGTTTGCTGAAGACCTATTCTACCCCGGATCTTCACGGGTCGTTCATACATGTAAAGAATGTGAAGAGCATTACCTACAATCATCATCGAGAAGGGGATGGCAGTGAGTAATATACAGCCGATAAAGAAGATGATACTACCTGAAAGTAAAAGTAAAACGAAACAATTATATTGTGCACTTTGGCACACATTTATTTGACGAATCCTCTTATGAACCATGTCAAAAGTCATAATAAAAACAAAGCATTCCAAAGTTTTCTTAAACGAGCCAAAGATGTGGGACATAATCTCAATGCCAGTGTTGATTTTGTTGATGGTTCTGTACTGTACTACAGAAATGCGTGTCAACCAAGCGAAGTGCCATATCAAATCGGCTCAGATTACGTTTTTCAAGGAGGGGACATCTGAACGACCACTGCATCGCGTTAATGTGCAGTGTGTTGAGAGGATTAGCAACCCTGCAGAGTCCCTGGCTTGGATGAGGTCGGCTGGCCTGAAAAGTGAAACAGAAGGCTTTCTGTTTGCTGTTCAGGACCAGTCACTTCCCACTCGAAATCGTCAATGTGTGATTTGATGTGTGTTCATCAAAATGTAAATATGAAATATAGATTACGCAATGCATTAAATGAGACTGTTCAACACATTATCTTAACCGAAATGATGGAGTAGCTCGATCATTTTATTACCGTCTTCGCCATGCTTTTGGTTTTGACACAGAGGTCCATCCATAGTACGACCCACAATATGTAGTGGGAAAATGATAAATACAAATTTCTTTGGAACAGGCCCGTATACAGTCTCAGACCTGTCCAGGCCAACAAACTTGATCTTGTCGTTTTTGATAAATCCAATGGAATCATTTATATCATTTAATTTTCTGTCCCTCTTGACACTAATGTGATTGACAAGATTCAGGAAAAACATGGTAAAAATGCGGACCTGGCTTTCGAAATGTTACCCTTTCATCCCAAGTACCAAGTTGTCCGACTCCCCATTGTTCTCGGGGCCTTAGGTTTGGTACCTCCAAATCTGTTGACTGTCATTGGGAGTACCCGGGTTTGTACCAGGAATACAGCCCTTCTGACAATCTGGGAAATGCAGAAGGCTGCATTGTTGGAGAGTCTTCACATTCTACGAAAAGTTCTGGGTGGGTTTGACTGGGCAGCGCTTCCTGGGAGAAGTCTCATTCGCCGTCTGGGCTGCGTGTAGAGGGGGCAAGGGCCCTGAGCTGATGATGAGCCTAACCAGCCTGACTGTGCCAGGATCACCCAAACCCCCTGCTACCCCGTGCTACATCCCAGATTTCAGAACGTAATTTAAGGATGTAAATGTATATCAATGTATACCAAATACCTGAACATTTCAAAATGCAGTTGAATATTTTAAGAGCTTATCATCAGATTAAATGTCGCCAATAACTTCTCTGCTAACTAGAAATCATTGTAACCATTAAACTGATAAAAGTAGTCTACAATATGCATAATTAACTGTTACTGACTTAAGGAGCATCTGTCATGGTCTGGAACGGCCACATTGTCCCCTGCAGGAGTAGATATAGTTGGCGGGGGTCGGGCTGTCGTGGGCAGGGCTGGCTGCTGGCGTACTGTGTAACACAAACATTCATGAACTACTCACAAAGAGGCATACGCTACCCAAACTGTGAGGAATAAACTACATCAGCTGAATTATACATAAAGGCTTCTATAGGAAAAACAAAATTAAACTATTTTTTCAAAATCAATATTTTAAGATAAAACGTTAAGGCAATATATGGCATACAAATATTTAAAACGTCAAACGCCAGAGAATACCCAGTCTCGAATACCCGATGAAAGTGATTCCATTGAGTAAAATACAAACTAGCGGTGAAAATTATATGAATGGATCACTGAAAATTGGTAACGACACCAGGCATTCGACAAAAGTGTACGCGTGTCCTGTGTTGTAGAGTTCACAGTATAAATACTAGTACCCGTCTGTTGTCCGGGTAACGCGACGACACATGTGACTTGAGCTCTGTGTATGTTGCCCTCGTCGTCCTGTGTGAGTCCAATGTGTCTCACGAGGCCTACAGTATTACCCTGAGGGTCTCGCGCCACAGCTGTGTGCCTCTCCACTCCGTAAATCTTTCCATCCTCGTCGAGGCCAAATTGGCGCTGAACTCCTGTACGCCAAGTGAAGCAAACCGCATATACAACAATATGTTCATGTGTATTATACCCCATCTTCCCGAGGCAAGGGAGTTAACTGACTATCGCAGTCCAGTTTCCACTCTTGCCGAACTAGGCTGGTATTATGGAGTTACATTTTGGCTGGACTAACGAGTTTTTGCATAGTCCAATCAAAATCGCGCAACGGAATCGAAATCCGGTTCGTAAACTGTCGTGCAGATTTCGGTCGATTGCAGGATTTGTAAAGCATGTGCACCGCCAACTCGTTGTCAACAGATATTTTCCAAATCCTTTCATGTTTTAATCAAGGTGCTGACGTGATTTGATGTACCCGTTGTATCACAATACAGATCTTGATTATCGATTAAATCGTCTTGACTGGGCGCCGCCATTTTGTTTGAAGCAAATGCAAGTGATACGAGAGGTGGCATCTAATTGGTCCATAGGAGAGGCATAGAAGGGACATAACTCGTAATAGCCACTGGTGGCGCTACGATCGAGCCCAGGAATTCCAGCCTAGTTCGGCAAGTGTGGAAATTGGACTTTTAAAGTCAGTTAACTCTCTTACCTCGGGAAGATGTTCTCAACATGGTAAACGCTAACTGTTCAGATTTATTTGAAAGGTGTTAGAACATCTGGACAAGGCGGAGAAAAAACAACTACTCTTCAGATGAATTGGTAAAAACAGCATTTGTCAAAGTGAATATAAATTGCCAATGCAAGAGAATAACCAGCCTAGATTTTCTGCCGAAACAGATTCAACTTGGCGTAAAGGTCCAAAAGCTGTGGAAATTGTGAAATTGTGAAATCAGTGATGACACCAGGTGCTCGCAACAAGGGTGAGCATGTCCTGCCCTACCGGTGGCAACCGCCATTCATACAATTTGCATAAAAAATGATCTACTGCCTGACCCCGCACAGCAGTATTCCTGCCATGTGACGGTAGCCTGTCACCCGGTTAGTGCCGTGACTCGAACAGAAAAACACACACAATTGTAAGAATTTTGAATGATATAGTATGATAGGCAGAATAGTAACATGTTAAAGTAGACAAAAATATTTAATAACAACCTTTTTATTATACTGTTATTGCGACGTTTCGGTGTAGATTCTTTGTCAAGACATAAAAAGTGTCTACTTTGTCAACCTTCTGAGAAATGCCTATTAAACAATAGTAAAATTATCTTTCACCAACATATACTCACGTGCTGCTATAGCATCGGCCATTTTGGTGACTGTCTTGAAAGCGATCGGTTAGCAATATGCACTCCTGAGCGAATGTCACCTGTAAACTTGTACAAGGAAGTAGTGAGGTCTCCAATCAGGTTTGGCCTGCCATTTTGGGAATCTGTTCGTGGAACTATATGAGGAAGTGGCGAATTGGACGAAGTGAAAAGGGGATATAGGAATGGGTGCTATCCGTCCGTCACGTTTCGTTTCAGGAACTGAAATCAAAAACCTTTTGGGATATCTTAATCACACTTGACACATAGATAGGTCTAGTGGTGAACTGGTGCCTTTTGATAGTTTGGGATTTAAAAAAAATAAATATTTGAGTTTCCATGGCAACGACTTTGACCTAGACTGAAAATTGGGGTAGTACTCCTTTCGGGAGCAGATCTTGAACACCGTACACTATTTACTGCCTTGCACACAACCGGACATGGCATAGTGGTGAGGGATATGAGTATTTCTTGCTTGTTCCCATTGCGCTTTGTCTTCTTAAACTTCGGGGCGGTGGGGTAGCCTCGTGGTTAAAGCGTTCGCTCGCCACGCCGAAGACCCGGGTTCGATTCCCGACATTGGTACAATTTGTGAAACCCATTTCCGGCGTTCCCCGGCGTGATATTGCTGGGATATTGCTAAAAGCGGCATAAAATCATACTCACTCACTCACTAACTTCTCAAACTTCATGAACATATTTTTTTAATTTTCAGTTTTACACTATTAAACAGCTTCATTTTAAAAGAAGACAAAAACACAAACAAATGTTCATAAAATTTCAACAGACAATAAACAGTAGCAAAAAAGCATTGATTTGTAATAAACAGATCTTATCATCACCACAGCCTGCTGCGTTGAACAAACAGTAGGCAAAAAAAAGGAGTTAAGGATTGGAACCTTAGAGCAGGTCGAGTATTATCATCAGTAGAGATGTTTGTAGACACATACCATGTAACATAATCAGGTACTAACATAACTTTCAACAGCTGTGTATCCTTATATTGTAATAATATGCATTGTAAGACAGTATTAGACGTGTTTTGCTACAAGATCGCAACATGCATCTCTACTGTGAGTGTGGTGGATGTAGAGCTCGGTTGTTTCGCCATAACATAATCAGGCACTAACTGCTTCTTCAATAGTTGACCGCCTCCGTGGTCTAGTGGTAGAGCGTCCGCCCAAAAGACGTTAAAAGATGGCACTTGTTGTTACCCTGTATGATTAGCTATCTGGCGCTCGGCATTAAGGGGCCAAAACAAGGGCTCAGTGGGCTAGCACTATAAATCGGCATCAGTCCGGACTAGTACAAGCACACACACACGCACGCACGCACGCACGCACGCACGCACGCACGCACGCACGCACACTAACTCTCTCTCACACACACACTAACTCTCTCTCTCTCTCTCTCTCTCTCTCTCTCACACACACACACACACACACACACACACACACACACACACACACACACACACACACACACACACACACACACACACACACACACGTCGCTATATCAGTACAATAATCTAGGTTGCGATGTTTAATCCCATTTCCCCTCACCTCAACTCACACGACCAGGGAATCGATATCAAACTTTTGACCGCTGGCTTATCGATTACCAATGTTTACAGACTTGTATTAGAAATGTGTGTATCATTTTTGGTTAATTTGCAACTTTTGGTGGGTATATACAAGATAATCAAGACGTACCGTCTGTAGCTGGAAAAGAAACGACTTGCTCTAAATGATCAACGTACAAATACACACAGAAAAGGCGAATCTGAATACCATAACATGACATAACATGACATAACATGCGTCAAACAAACATTTGAATAACAAAAGTTGGGTACAAATGTACGTAGAATTACACAGACGAAGGCTATCAAAGCATGTACATGTTTAATAAGCCTGTGTCCGCATGGGAAGTCCCATGTCTGGCGCTCGGCATTTAGCGGCTTAAACAAGGACTGGTCGGCTCGGAGTCAGTATACTGTGTCTGAGTGGGATACCCATGTTAAACTGCAGCATGGTATCTCAGTGGGCTAGCACTATAAAATTGGCATTAGTCCGGACTAGTACAAGCAGCAAAAAACACACGTGCATTCACGTCCATATACGTGCAATAATCTTGAACGCGACGTTAAACGCCATTTCACCTTACCTCGAATAGCTGTGTAACCTTGTCTTGTATTATATGCATTGTAAGACAGTATTAGTAGTGTTTTGCTACAAGATCGCAGCATGCGTCTCTACAGTTGTTTCTACATGTAACATAATCAGGTACTGACATCATTTCCACAAGACGGATTCTTACTGACCACTCCGTATACCCGAGTCATGGCTTCAGAATATTAACAAGAAGATAGTTTCCCTCAAGGTCACTTGGACACGAACTCAATGCACTGAGATAACATGTCCCTTCTGCGCTTCCATAGAATGTCATTGCGACACCCACAACACGTATATATTCACGCGTTGAGATATTGGGGTCATGTCACTAGGGTTTTGTTGACCCGACAACGTACAGACTGAAGCCCAGACTTGTTATTGCGCTGGGATATACACGTTTCCCCTATCAATAAGCAAACAATTTTGATCTAAACTATTTGACAAGCTAAAATCGATAATAAAATCATGATTTCTTTCCAACACTAATAAAATGTAATAATTGCTAAGTGTATATGACAGCGCATGATTTGTGAATATAAAAATATGTATGTGAAATATGTACCTCATTAAGGAAGGATGTAAAGTGAATGAAATGTACAAAGACATATATACATATTACAGGGCGTAAATGAGGTGAGGTGAGGTGAGGTGAGGTGAGGTGAGGTGAGGTGAAATGGGGTTTAACGTCGCGTCCAATATTAATGCACTTATATAGCGACGTACATGCACCTATCTGCTTGTTCTGCTGGTACTGATGCCGATTTATAGTGCTAGTCCAGTGAGATTCCATGCCGCAGTTTAACATGAATACCCCACTCAGTACCTCACTCAGACACAGTATACTGACTCCGAGCCGACCAGTCCTTGTTTGAGCCCCCTAATACCGAGCACCAGACAGGGTTACAACAAGTACAATCTTCTAACGTCTTTTGGTATGACGCGGCCGGGGATCGAACCCCGGACCTTCCGCTCTCCGGTCGAACGCTCTACCACTAGACCACGGAGGAGTAAATGAATATATGCATAGGAGTATCGTGTATCGTGTGAATGTTTTACTATTATGTTTGCATGTGAAATATGTATGTTAGTGAGAAAGAATGAAAGGTGAATAAAATGTAAAAAGAAATATATACATATTAAAGAGCATAAATTCATGCCTACATAGATTCATCGTGTATCGTGTGAAATGTATGTTTGAAAGGGCTGAATGTACGACAATGTAATCAAATATACCTAACTATTGCTGTTTTTGTTATTCCCATTTGACTACCCAGACCCCGGAAAGCTCTACACCTATATTCTAGTACAGGGGTATTGGTGGTAAGTAGCGCTTACTAAACCATTAAGTTTGTTTGCAGTTGTCATACAGGATAGATAACGGAAGTTGTGACTCATTGTACAACACACGGCGTGTATGTACTTATAGTTATGAATTGAGCCACAAAGCTTTCTTAGAAAATGTCCTTGCACAACAGTAGTTCCCAGAACTAGGTGACCATAAACTGGCAACAATGACAACATTGAATATCGTTAAACTAAACATGGCATTGTTGCAGTAATAGGGGTAGAGTTTATCTGCCACAAAAAAGAAGACATTTTTGTAAGGTGTTTTTCTTAAAAGAATATTTAGGCTTACAGTTGTAATATAAAAATATCTGTTTTTTAAAGAGAGTTTTTTACACCATTTATTGGATTCGGTTTTTTTCTTCAAAGACTAACATAGATGGACTTTTTCTTCAACAGAATATGAAAGCAGCAACACGACATTGACTGGTATTATCTACAGTCTACATTGTGCGTACAAGAAACTTGAAATAGTAGGCATTGTCGTTAACACGAAATGTCCACCCTCAGTTTTTTTTATTATTAGTTATTGAAATGAAAAAGAAATACTTATAAATTGGTATCATTGAAACAAGTCGAATATATACCAAGATATTTATCAAGTATATAGTGAATATCTAAAGAATATCAAATGGTCGATCCCCAATGACGATATTCGCGCAACAATTCGTGCTGAATTAGGAAACTTTCCCACAGCTGCGTATGTCTCAAACTCCTTTCGGTTGACAACGCTCAAACATATTATCCGTTACAATTATATACACTTGTTATCCCAGTTATCACAATTGCATCACAATGCATAGTAGACCATTGTGTTACATGACGGCACAATCAAATGACATCACTAATGGCTCTGCTACTGACGCTGTTAGCAATACTTTTTACACTTAAGAAACTGCTTATTGTTGTCTACAAACTGAAAAAGTAGGAAGAATGATGTTGGATGATAAATAAAATCTCACCCTCGTGTCTTTTGATATCAAATATATCAACACTCATTGATAAAAGTGGAAAAAATCCTCGGCAAGCCTCGGAGTTTTCCCACTTTTATCAACTTGTGTTGTTATATTTGATATCAAAAGACACTCTGGTGAGATTATCTATATATCAAGGACTTTATTTATCACATTCTAGCAATCGATTTCCACGGAAGTTGACCAACGGAATAGATGAATGCCGTCCTCGTTAATAAATATGTATATAATATGCTTTTTCTTCCTATTAATTTTAAAAGATGTGCTATTGTCATTTGAGTAAGATCCTTGGCTCAGCGAACAAGGAAACAGACCCGATAGACTGCCCTCTATGTCATATGAACCTAACACAGAACGACGGGGAGCTTTACGTGCTAACATTCCTTTTACCACGAATACGTCAACAGTATAACCGTTACATTGTCACCGATCAGGATACAATTTACATCTGCGATAACCGAGATGAGCTCGTGAGTCAGTCTGTTTGGCTTCGAACATTTTATCATTTAATTCATTCGCGGTATGTCACGGAGTGATGTGAACAATGCGGATTTACATCTGAAAGTCACCTGTACTGGTATGAAGCTGACAAATCTGATATAATAGGCTAACTAAAAAATCATATCAAGGGAGAATCGGGATTGAAATCCACGATCATGGGATTCTTGCCCGACTAAGGAACGGGACTCACAGCGGATAGACAACTGTCTCGCCCATGCCCAGAAGACATACTACGTACATAAGGAAGAGAATTTATGGATGTCAACTTCTTCATCAACATGGAGATGATGCAGTAATGATAAAGAAGTTGACATCCATAAATTCTCTTCCTTGTGTGTATCACTTCTAAATGCCTTTCAAAGCATTGATAATACGTACAGTTTACATTCTTAGAGGTCAGAGAACGTATTGCAAAGATTAGTGAGTTATGATTAGTGCGTGAGACTGTGTAATTTTACGTCGTCGAACAATGTGTGAAAACGGACTCTACTAAATAAAGAAAAATGACAGCATGGTTCTGAATTTGAAAATTGCAAAGAATGAAATGTTTTGAACATTCTCAGGCAAAAATAAGTTTCCCCAAGTGCCCCGCAATATTTCCAATATCAGGAACCACCAACAGTTTTATTTCCCTGCAGGAACACCGTATCATCGAGGTATGCACAACGGGTTTGTTGTTTACACCTTTATAAGCCCAAACTGAAGTCAGTATCTAAATGTATTTATTTAACATTAATAATATTCTAGGATTACAATACACAAACACTCACAACGATCTAAATGATCTGAAGCGTCCTGTGACTAACTCGTATTTGATTCATATTGGGATTTTATTCGTTTCTTTCACAACGGAACAAAAACTAAAACAATTACATGATATAAACATTTACATGTCATTAACAATCTTTATTAATATGTTACCCAAACAAAACTGGGACCGTCTGAATTGAAATATAACTAATGATAGTTGGCGATATTAAAAACAACATCACACACATGTACAATACTATTGGCAGATCGTGTAGTTTAAGTTGTGTTTCAGTCGCTGAATCTTTATGAGTGTTACTTCGTTAAAGACGTGCGCTGTCCAACACACTCAATCACTACAAAACGGGCTGCACAACAAACAGATGATTCCACTTGACAGAATAAACCAGAAAGGCGCAGTATAACCCCAGGCCAGTCTGTGCACCGTGCTGTCCGTGCAGTCTGACATAATAATCCACGCAACCCCTGCCAGGAAGGAAAGGGTGAGGCACAACATTAAACAGTCGCAATGATTAGTATTTGCATATTAATATTACCAGTACAACTGAATTTATCATCCAAAACTGGCTCACACAGGAGATATCGCTTGGGTGAGATCAAGCGATATCTACATTGTAGATATCGCTGCAATGAAATTGCATCACAATGCATTGCAGACCATTGTGACGTCAATGGTTACATGACGTCACAATCAAATGACAACACTAAAGGCTCTGCTGCTGAAGCTGTTGCAGTACTTTTTAGACTAAGACACTGCTTATTACTGTCTACAAACTGAAAAAGTTGGAAGAATGATGTTGGATGATAAATAAAATCTCACCCTCGTGTCTTTTGAAATCAAATATATCAACACTCGTTGATAAAAGTGGAAAAACTCCTCGGCAAGCCTCGGACTTTCCCACTTTTATCAACTCGTGTTGTTATATTTGATATCAAAAGACACTCTGGTGAGATTCTCTATATATCAAGGACCGCCTCCGTGGTCTTGTGGTAGAGTGACCGCCCGCAGAGCCGAAGGTTCGATCCCCGTCCGCGTCATACCAAAATACGTTTAAAGATGGTACTTGTTTTACTCTGTCTGGCGCTCATAATGAAGCTAAAATATGTTAAACTGCGGGTTGATATCTCAGTGAGCTAGCACGATAAATCGGAATCAATCCGGACTAGTACCAGCAGAAACACACACACGCGCACGCACGCACGCGCGCGAATGCACGTCACTATATGAGTACAATAAACTTGGACGCGACGCTAAACCCCATTTCACCTCACCTTATATCAGGGTAAGTAGCATTAGTAAATAAAATAATATTAAAATTCTCTTAATTTGAACAGAAAATTAAACTTGAAAATTAAACTAATCAGTAAAGGAACATATAACATCAGTGAGTGAGTGAGTTTGGTTTAACGCTGCTTTTAACAATATTCCAGTTAAATCACGGCGTGTCAGCTTATTGTGGGAGGAAAGCCCGAAGTGATGCAGGTATATGGTGCTGACAATCCTAGAAACATAATCGGGGCGAACCGGGATTCGAACCCACAATCATAGGTTTCTGGCATAGCCAAGGGACGCAACTCTGCACAGCGAATTGCGGCACCTGAGACGACTGGGCCACCCGTGCCCCCTTACACCAAGTAACAATTTACCATATTGTCCAAAGTAATGTACACTCAGGCATACACCTTAAAATAAATTCCATACAAGACTCTGGCAATAATTCCTTTTATTTATTTAACAGGAATTTATGTGAATTCTTGTTTTCGTGTTTGGTTTTTAAAGAAGAAAGTGTACGAGAAAACCTACCGATAATGAACCATATGAAGATAAATACGCCGACGGGGGCAATGAGCTTCAGGAGGGTCTCTCCGTCAATACAGTGACAGCAAATCCAGATGGCAACTGCGATGGGGATGCTCATTGAGACAATCCCCTGAACGACCATATAGACCCCCAGTTTGAGGTCACCAGGACAACTGTTGATGTGCATGGCCCCTGAAAAAGAAAGCATACGTAAATATGTATATTAACATAAGATGCTTTATTACTTCAATTGTTTTTTATGTCTTGTAGCTGTACACGCGCTGTGAGGGGTTGCCCATGAGAAAAGAAAGTATATGTTGATAGGTAAACATACTGAGAGGAATAGTTATTGGCTCACACTCTCCAACTTCAGGTAACTTGATATTGATTGCATAATTAATGATGTGTGGAGACATCCTCATAAAAAGAAAGTAGGCCTGTGAAGATGGGGGGGGGGGGGGGGGGGGGGGGGGGGGGGGGGGGGATAGGTCTTCAGCAACCCATGCTTGCCATAAAAGGCGACTATGTTTTTTTGTCATAAGAGGTGACTAACGGGCTTGAGTGGTCAGACTCGGTGACTTGGTTGATGCATGTCATCGTATCCCAATTCCGTGGATCGATGCTCATGTTGTGATGCACTGGATTGTCTGGTCCAGACTCGTTTATTAGTATCCAGGTAATAATGGATGTATACATACAAGCACATACATATTACGATGTAACCGCACAACAAAACATTTATAAACAATTATTACCTAAGATCATCATGGAGAGAGGGATGACAGTTAACAGAATACATCCGATGAAGAAGATGATACTCGCTGAAATGAATATCAACAGAAACGTACACATTTGAAAATACGGTTGAAAAATACAGTAATACTGTTTTAGCAGCTTAGAATATTGTGTTAAAAATATGGTCAATTGAAGACTGAGTAAAGGCTATGCGATTACCACCAGAGATCCTGTGGTTAACCATCTACACCAGTTACAGGTTTCTGAATAAGGAATTCAATAAAAAATATTTATTATGTTTTACTAACTTAAGGAGCATCTGTCATGGTCTAGAACGGTCACATCATCCTGGGAAGGAGTAGTAGTGGTAGTTGTAGTGGTAGTTGTAGCAGAGGGCGGGGGCAGAGCTGGCTGCTGACGTACTGAAAATAAAACCCACAAAACCCTTTCCATAATCATAATGAACATTCTTCAGTTAATTGTGCGATTCCTTTTTTTTTATAGTCATGTGTCTATGAATCACTGTGAAATAGTGAAGATACCTGGTGTTCGCGAAACGGTGTGAGTAATTTTGTCCTACCGGTGGCACACGTCACAAACACATGCTTAGGCAAGTCAATTGTTTACCCGGGAACGTAGGGTTCCTTTTTGACAAATTGTTCTGAAACTTTGAAGATAGAGATGGAACTACTATTATATCTATGATCTCAACCTAACACACGCAATTCTGTCGGGACATGTTAACGCCAGCACCTTGTGTCATCACTGATTTTCAGTGATCCATTCATATAATTTTCAGAGCTATTTTGCCTTTTACGCCAAAGTGAATCTGTTTCGCCAGATGATCGAGACTGATATTCTCTGGCCTTGACGTTTTATATTTACCCATCAAGTGCACATGCGCTCCCCGAACTACAGTTGGGGTATACATTACATGCAGCTGAAATGTATAAGCACATTGCTATGTACCTTGGTGTCCTAGGTTAAAGGTACACATTAAGGTACTTCTCGTGGGAAGAAACGTAAATAGACCTTTTCTTCACTATCAAATAAACAATAAACAACAGAGAAATAGACAAAGGCCTTTCTGAAAGTGGTCAAATGTGACATATGTTATACTTGTGATTACACCTCCATAGTCACGTACACAGTCTAGTTTTTGTGTGTGTTGTGTCCCATCCGGGATCGAACCCACAATCACAAATTAAGGTACCTAATCGCCAGCAAACACAGTCAGCGACCTACCCCACTCAGCCAAGCCTTACTCTGAGAGTGTGGGTTTGAATCCCGGATGGATCTCAAACCAAAACCAAAATGTTACAATACATAGGAAGGTCCAAACGCTGGACATACGACAAGGCCATGTTTGTGTGTCGGAGAAAGTGTTTAAGTAATAGTACCCGTCTGTTGTCCTGGTAACGCAACGACACTTGTCACTTGAGCTGTGTGTGTGTTGCCCTCGTCGTCCTGTGTTGTAGAGTTCACAGTATAAATACTAGTACCCGTCTGTTGTCCGGGTAACGTGACGTCACGTGTGACTTGAGCTGTGTGTGTGTTGCCCTCGTCGTCCTGTGTGACTCCAATGTGTCCCACGAGGCCTACAGTGTTGCCCTGGTTATCTTGCGCCACAGCTGTGTGCCTCTCTACTCCGTAAATCTTCCCATCCTCGTCGAGGTCAAATTGGCGCTGAACTCCTGTAGGCCAAGTGAAGCAAACCGCATATATACCAATATAAAAACACCAAACCCAACCCAACCCAACCCAACCCCAACCCCACCTAACCCAACCCAACCCAACCCAACCCCAACCCAACCCAACCCAACCCAACCCGACCCGACCCCAACCCCAACTCAATCCCACCCCAACCCCACCCCATCCAAACCCCAACCCCCCACATACACACATTAATAAAAGAATTAAAACATATACTCACCGGCTGCAACAACATCTGCCATTGCTGCTGTCTGTCTTGAAATGATTCGGTTGTCAATATGTACAACCACTCTTTATGTCGCCTGCCCCGCCTTCTCTTGAACAAGGAAGTAGTACATTCACCAATCACGTTTAGCTCACCTGTAACTGGTTCTGTGACCAGCAAGTCGTAAACTTTAGGGAAGTAAACATTCCCGTTGCAGCAACTGTGCTCCTCTCCCCGCTGATCTGTTTCTTTATGACCCTGAATCGGAATGTGTGCTCGGATTGTCAACATCAAACAAGGTAACATGGCCATGACGTTTAACGTAATATTGAAGTATATAGAGGATTTGATATCGTTCAATAACCATCAGATAACCAGCCCCCTTCCACTGATTTACCCGGAGGCCAGTGAGACGGACTCACATGTTTAGATTTAAGTCAAAGATTCTGAGTGACAAAAAACTCTCCACAAGACTATGAAAAAATGGATGACTTCTAATTTGTTCCTTTATGTCGAGCAATATTCCTGCAGCTCCAGTCCTTGGTGACCTTTCACGCCTTTTAAGGTATAATCGAGTATGCACCTTCTACCGAGATTTCAAAGAGCGTCATACGACTCTTGATCAGAGGTTTGATCAAGGTTACAATATTCAAGGCCTCAGTAAAGCTTTCAAAATGATTAATGGTATGACACTTCCAAATTTATATCCAATGATATCCGGTTTTGACTTATACCATATGTTCCAGTGGGTTTTCGGGTGAACAATTGACTTGTCTTTGCATGTGTTTGTGATGAGTTCCACCGGTGTGGCAGGGTAAGCTCACCTTTTCGCGAACACCTGGTATAATGACTATTCGATGGTGATTCATAAACACTGCTCATGATATAGGCGGAATCTTGGAATCGACTCTGCTTTTGGCTGAGATTTCTGATGAATATGGAGACGGTTTTGTCGCTTTTATTTAGTCAGGTTTGCCAACAAGAACTTATGGAACCACAAAGAACTCGGAACTGTTAGAACTGTATTGGGAATTCGAGATATCTACAGTTATAACTGTACTATCAATGTATTTTAAAAGAAATTGTGTTCTTTGTTCGTGGCTGCCTCATGATCGATGCTCACGATGTCAATCACAGAATTGTCTGGTCAAGATTCGATTATTTACAGACCGCCGCCACATAGCTGGAGTATTGCTGAGTGCGGCGTTAAACAAACAAACAAACAAACAAACAAACAGTTGTCAAAGCACACTGGTCAATTCGCTGTCAGGGTCACAAATTATACTTGATCTGTCGACCCGTGAAGATCCCATTACGGTAACCCATGCTTGTCGTAAAAGGCGACTATGCTTGTCGTAAAAGGCGACTATGCTTGACGTAAAAGGTGACTATGCTTGTCGTAAAAGGCGACTATACTTGTCGTAAAAGTCGACTATGCTTGTCGTAAAAGGCGACTATGCTTGTCGGGATTGGGTGGTCAGGTTCTCTGACTTGGTTGATGCATGTCATTGTATCCAAATTGCGTGGCTCGATGCTCATGATGTAAATTACTGGATTGTTTGGTCCAAACTCGATTATTTACACACCGACGTCATATAGCCGGAATATTGCTGGAGTGCGGCGTTAAACAACAAACAAACAAACTTGATCTGTCAGCATGAGGTGCTACATTCTTCAAACCAGTCAAACCCTCTGTTAATCACTTATAATCAGTGTACTAGTATAGTTTGTATTTTATCCGTGCAAGTCACACATTTTACATCTAAACCTCGATAACATTTTGTCCAACATTTCAATGTTAATCCCTGTCCACAACTGACATGCTCTGCTTGACGACATACGGATGAATGTAAGCAACTCATATTAATTATCATTGACACGAAATGTCGACTCTTTTCTGTCGACTGTTTTCGAGAAATTCTTTATATATAGAAAAATATAGTTTTAAGTTTGTTTTTATTTTATAGACAACAATACCAATGGTCATCATTATTAGTTATAGTGTTAGGAACTTAACAATTCATAATAGATAGAACATTGTAACAAATGTTATATTTGGGATAACACGTTTTGGCAAAGTACATATTCTCGTACTTTTTTTGGGTTTAAGTCCCGTCCGGGATTCGAACCCACACTGCCAGTGTGAGGCACCTAATCGCCAGCACACAAAGTCAGCAATCTAACCCACTCAGCCACCGAGGCTTTCACAAAAATGAGAGTTCGACAACTGGTAGTCTAGATCACGTACTTTGTGTACCCCTCTGACAAGTGTAAATTGGCACAGCTCCCATGGCCGCAAGCTATGAACACACAATGCCATTTAGAAAGTGGTCAATTTGTTACATTTGACCACTTTTTAAATTGCATTGTGTGTTCATAGACAGAATATTACTGACAATTGAATGCTGGTATACGCAGGGCATGGCCTCGATAGGTTCAGCCATGGCCACGAGGCATTCGAGGTCTCAACATACATATATAATTCTTAGCCCACGCCATGTCCCTTCCACGCCACCGTAGATATGCGAATTTATTGATCAACAAGTCAGGTATTTTTTATCAATACTGAATTCAAACTTCCTTGTGCCGCCTGGAGGGGGATATTGATACTTGTATTACACAATATTGACACAGCTCTACTTTCCAAGTGTGTGTTTACGTGTGTGTTCCACGAGTGTACCGTATGCTCTGTCAGCAGTCCCGTGACGCTATCTCCTGCGCCTACAAGGTCATGGTAGGTGTAAGGCAAGGCACGTGCGTGAGCTATGGGCATTTATACTGAGTAAGTGAGTATGGTTTTACGACGCTTTTAGCAATATTCCAGCAATATCAGGGCGGGGGGCACCACAAATAGGCTTCACACGTTGTACCCCATTCGTCACCACTCGCCCCTTTCCGTCACCTGCAAGAAGACTCGTCCCCCTATCGATGAATGTTATATGCGAAAATACGACAATCCAATCAGAATGCGCGTATGATTTCAAGTTCTTCGTCAAAGAATCCCTCAGAAATAATTTTTGATTTTACATATGTCTTGCATCTAAAAATATACCAAAGACACAGTTAAATGTGTTCAATCATACTGTATAATTCCGCACGTCCCGATGTGCTTTAAATTGCATTTGAAATATATATAATAAATGGGGAAAATGTGTGAACCATTACGCAACGAGTTGACAATTGTTTTAGGTATGCCCGTTTGCGCTAAGACGGAACCCGGTCGCAAAAATGGCCACGAGAGGGGCACGAGTCGCTATTCGGCTTGTCCCGGTATAACACGAGTTGGTCACGAATGGTTGTACCCATGTGGGGAATCGAACCCGGGTATTCGTCGTGACGAGCGAACGCTTCAACCGCTAGGCTACCCCACCGACCCGTTTAAACTGAGAATTAAACATATTCATGGGAATCATTTGGGTACTGGGATGATAAATCATTTTTAACAAACGTTACAAAAGTCAAATGTGTATTTCTGTCACGCGAAAAGGAACAGACACATGAACGGGTTTGCCTCCAAAAAGTTCATGTAAATTACAATATTGACACCGGGTGTTCGCGAAACGGGAGAGCGTGTCTGCTGTAACCGGTAGCGTTAATATTGTCTCATTTTTACATGGATGTTAAAATGAATTCACGGTTTTAATATAATAACACGTGTATGAATTTTGTATAAGTCATACCTTTTTGAAACTTAAGCCTGTGATATCGATTTTATATTCAGTCAATAATGAGGTGAGCTTATGGTGTTACACGTTGCTTGTTGTTTAACGCCGCACTCAGCAATATTCGATCTATTTGACGGCGGTCTGACAATCCTGTGATAGATATCATGTGCATCGATCCACGCAGTTTGGATACGATAACATCAACCAAGTCAGCGAGCCAGATCATCCGATTCCGTTCGTAGCCTCTTACGACACGCATTGTCGCCTCTTACGACAAGCGGTCGGTCGGGTAGCCTAGTGGTTAAAGCGTTCGCTCGTCACGCCGAAGACCCGGGTTCGATTCCCGACATGGGTACAATGTGTGAAGCCCATTTCTGGTGTCCCCCGCCGTGATATTGTTGGAATATTGCTAAAAGCGGCGTAAAACCATACTCACTCACTCACTTACGACAAGCACGGGTTGCTGAACACCAATTCTACCCCGGATCTCCATGGGTCTGGTGTTACACGTAACATTCGCATAAGGTCGATTAATATAGATAACATGTAAGTGATCATATGTGCGTATGTGTGCAATTACTGCAGAGTCTTTTTTCTAAAATACTAGTATCGCCATATCAATTCCGTTAAAGCCGCGTTTACTTGTCCTGGTATCACCCCTTTAGTAACACATGCGTAATATATAGTCGGAATCGTACACTGCACTCTGCTTTTAGTATAGCGACTTCTCATGATGATGCACATGTTCTTTCTCGATTTTATATTGCTATTAAATTCAAACCTGTCATATCAATGTAAGGTATGTGTACAGGTGGTTTTAGTTCCAGCTTCCGATTCGGCCCGATTGCTCGCTGATTTCACCAAAGCGGAAATTCGCTGAGGAGAGTCGGGTTGCTCAACCGTACCAGGATCTGCTCGACGTGGGTCAAGACTGCCTTGCGTGTTCTACAGGATCTTGGTTAAGTAGAAGGAAAACGCACCAACCTGAGTCAATGTTAACTTTTCTTCCACATCAAGCCGACAGGTGATAAACCTTTCAAAGCTTTGTTAAACTACCAATCTCAAATACAACTTGTATTCTAATCGATTAAATTATTTTCTATAGGTAGCAGGGCGTTGAGTCATCCAGCAGATGACATCCTTACCTTGTCAGCTTGCTGACGGGGTTTACCTCCTTGGTCATGTGGACATGGCGTCCGACCTCGGATCAAAGGTCCGTGGTTTGCATCCCAACACAGAACTCTGAAATTTAATGGCCTCTACATTGGCGCCCAACGTGGGGCTGAGCACGTTCATATTACATTTGAGCAACATATGTCTCAGACGGGGGAGTATGGAGCAGGGCGTGGAGTCATCCCACAGATGACATCCTTACTTTGTCAGCTTGCTGACGGAGTTAACCTCTTTGGTCATGTGGACAAGGCGCCCGCCATCGGATCAGAAGGTCCGTGGGACGA